TTCTTCCCCTCATCACTCTCTCCCACCGTCTCCCCCTACTCCCTTCCTTCCTCCCTCCCCCTCCCTCTACCTCTCTCACTCTTTCCCCTCTCTCTGGCAATCTTCTTTACACAATTCTCTCACTCTCTCTCTCTCTCTCTCTCTCTCTCTCTCTCTTTTAACATTATGTTTCACTTTCTGATCAGAAACACGCCATCTCCCTCCCTCTCATCATCTTGCTCGTTCTGCCCTTCTCGTCTTCTCGAGTTTTCATCTTCCTTTTATCTCATTCGAAATCAACTATTATGAATTGTCAAAGTATAGTGTTATATCAGGGATTTGGAAACTCCCTAGTTCTATGTACATTCAGACGACAAAATTCCGATTTTAATTCCAGACCAGCAGACTCGTTGTTGTTGTTGTTTTAGTTTATAAGCGTTTGTGATTCAGAAGCATAGAGATATATACTACTAACACTTAAGTATATATATATCTCTATGTTTAGAAGTGAATGATAGTCTAGTTTTAAAGCGGTTTGGAGAATAATTACTTTAAATTTATGTTAAAAAAATACAGCAATACACTATTTGGTTTATAAATAGAACCAAATTTTGATTAAATAATCAGAATTGCAATACACTTTGTACTTAATTCTAAACTATCTTTTTAGATAAAATAAATTTAGGTAAATTTATTTGTAGCGTCTGAAATTACACTAGCTAAAATATAAACAACAACAAAATCATACATGTGCAATTATGATGCAGGAACGGTGGGAAACTACTGATGGTAATTTTGATAAATTTGCTTGCTTGTTGAATTTCATGAGATGTTTTATGTAGTTGAGATATTTTAATTGAATGGTGTTTAAAGATAAGGTGACAATTTGCTTTCTGTAATTGATGACAGGGTGTTATTTTGATTATCATCTGAGCCCATCTGAGCCTACAGTACGGCACCGTCAATTCCCCCGGACTTGTCCGGTGGCTGTGGCAAGACACATTGCTCTCGTAGTATAGTCGCGTCCTACATGTGCGCTTGCCTATTTGAATGAAGTGTAGATTGTTGTACGGAGAGTCGGAGTGAGCCTGATGACAGAAGCTGGTGTTGAGTTACAGCTTATTTATTCATTTATTTAAACATATTTTATTCAGGACAAAACGTAATCAGCAAAAGCTGTACATTTTACATCATGTCACACAACAATAAAAATAAAAACAATACAAGAATCCAAAATGTTTTTAAAAAATCCCAAAGCATACTGATTGATCATGTTGATACAGAAAAGTAAAGAGAAGGAGGATGGGCGAAAAGAGACAATTAAACTTGGAAAAGGCTGAAAAGAGAGAGAGAGAGAGAGAGAGAGGCTAAAAAAAAGGGGGGGCGGTTAAATGCAGGAAATGGGGTATGGAGGAATTAGGAATAAGGGGTTTATTCACAAAGTTTATTGCCATTACTACCCATTTGGTCTATTGTCTATTAATCATTTGTTGATGATTATTATCCATGATTAAATGATTATAAGACTATAATGGATATAGGACTTAAAGAGAAGGTTGAGTTCTGGGAAGAGGTAAAAGATAATTTGTGAGCGTTATCATTGTTATTATGCAAGAGTGGAAGAACATCAGATTAAACATGTTCCCTGAAAAGCATAGCTCTTCAAATGCCTTCATATTCTAGATATGACATGAAACATCCTAAAAATCAGGGGGTAGGATTTTTCATCATTCTGTGTAAAGTGCTTGTAACTTTGCAAAGATTTGGCCAAATTTCTTATCATTTTGATGATTCCAGAACCTTGCAATACACACGAATACTTATATACTAAATGATCAACCTTTTCTGATAGATTCCACACCGTTTCTTTCACAATGCAATCACATGACCAGAACTCAACTTTATCTTCAATGGAGATTGACCTGATTATTTTCCCACAAAAAGAAATTTCAAGCCCTTTCGTTTTAAGGTCAGTTCTAAATTAGTATCATCTGTCTAATTTTAACCTTTTCATTTCAGGACATAGTACCTTGAAAACAATTGTTTTTGCTTGGGTAAAACTGCATTTAGTGAGTCAGCATTCCTTCTGTTGATTCCATGTCTACCTACGAACACATCAATGTCATTACGACGTCAGTTTAACCTAAACACAAGATTTATTGCATAATATATCAAAGATAACCGAGTCTGAGCTTGTGTACATCTCTAATTTTCAGGTCCAGACAAGTAAAGCCAAAGGTTATTAATAACCAAATGTCAAAGGTCAGTGGGGGTTGCTCAACAAAAGATCACAGGCAATGTGACAATATCTCTCTGGTCTTTCACCATGTTTTTAACAAAGCTGTCCATTCTTAGCATAAATTATCGGATAAATTGTCAGAACTGGGACAAAAATAAGAAGCTGCTTGATTGAGTGACATGAATTTTGTTTGTTTTGGATTTACAGTGTTATCTAGCTGACTTCATACATTGTAGGAAATATTTTCCTGTAAGTTGTTCTGTGTATAATTTCTTTCTCACTTCACAATTTTGGGGAAAAGAAAACCCAGCACCAAATTCCTTCAATGGAGGTATATCGCCCTCTGTTGTTCAAATATTATACACCATTCACCTCTCCCCCTTTACAAACATAATTGTATTCACAATTTTATTTTGCAGACTAATAAATGTTAGTGTCTATTAAAGTGCTAGTGGAAAAATGAAAGAAATGTTTTCTTCTTCTGTTGAATCTACCTCCTTCATTCCTGAAGATTCTATTTTTTTAAATCCTCTTTATTTACATCATTTCTTATATTCATGAGACAGTTAAAGTTCTAATCTATCTTTTCTTAGACACTGGGTTTTTTGCAAACAATATCAGATGGCAGAAACAAATTCTATTTCGATGCACCGTTCAATTTTGACAATTGACAAATTATTCTGATGCCTTATTTGTTGGTGTTCATATCTAGTTTAATTACTGATTGGCCTAAACTATCATAACAAATATTTCTACAACTCAGTGTTTCTTTTACAAGTTTACAAGCCAATTGAATGAATATGCATACATGGGGATCATAATGCAACAAATTCATTATAGGCCTATATTTTTGAAATATGTGTTTTTTTTATTAAAAAAAATAAATGTTTGTAAAAAAAAAAAAAAATGAAGGGTTTCAACCCTGTCCTTATTTTAGAAGAGAATTTTTTTTCTTCACTCAAGCTGAGATGGAGCAATGATCATAATGTTATGTACAGTAGTTTCTGCCGGTAGCTCAGGGTGCCAAATATGTAATAAATATATAGGCTGTCAAAAAAAAACTACTCTTCCTGTATCATCTTGTGTATTTAGAAGCGTTTCTATCTTTCATGATTGGAACAGATATATTGTTTCATGATGATTGAGCTGTACTCTTTGTTAGAATAATGCCTGTGTAATCTTCTTCTGTAACTTAAATACCCTATTGTAGACCTGTGATTAGAGAACGATAACCCCCCCCCCCCCTCCCTGTATGAATGAGGCTCTGTAACAAGTGAGGCACATCAAAGGAATGCCTTTCAACTTTAAGAAGTCCTTTCATTCAAGAAACAATTGGAAGATTTGTTCTGTCATGATGTTGGAAGGCAGTGAGGGAGAGGGGGGGGAGATAGTTTTGTTTCTGTATTCCACTTGCAAGTAAACGGTACATTCCTTTGTTGAATAAGCATCTGCACAGTGACGTGTGCTTGAGATAAACACCTTTAGCACTGAAAGTAGAAAGTGAAAAGATCACAGTTATTAGTCAAACATTCAGCCTGGTTTTAATTGCTCGCTGGATTTCTAAGCTGAAATTTCCTTACCTGCATGAGTCGGTGTAGGAATGGACAAAAAAGTAGCTTAAGCCTCCTTGGATGTTGTATGTTCCTTGTCAGGGCCTTTGATAAGGCAACTAGATATTGGCGCTCTGCGAATTTCAGAATTGGGTTGGATTGGATGCTGGACTACTACTTACTGGTGTAGAAATTTCAGGAAGGATATGAATACTGGCAGCTAGAGTATTATATAACCTCTGGCACTGTTAAATACTGTTAGATCATTCAGGAAAGGATTATATGTGGGACATTTCTGGGATCTATCGAAATAGCAAATAATTTCCAATCGTGGAAAAGTTACATGCTCATGCACACATGAAGTTCCGTCGCCTGCAAGCAGTTGATGTGGGAATTGATCTCCATGTATTTGATGGCATGCAACATGTAAGTTAATCAATTGTTATCTTTTTTGTTTTTTGTATTTCATCTTTTTAAATCTGTAACTTAACTCCATGCATGTTATTGGTTTCAGATTCTTTTTTGTTTTTACTTTTTCTTCCATATGTTCCCTTTATTTTTCCTCTCCCTCTCTTTTTCCCTTGCTTCTTTTCTCCTTCTTCTAGTTCTTTTTCTACTCTTATTCTTCTTTTTTTATTTCCTTTTCTGCTCACACCCGGTCCAACTCATTTTACTCCTCAAGGAGAGTTGAACCATCTTATGGCACAGTCACACGGCCACTTACGGTAGCTGCGGATGCTTACGGATAAAAGTCCATAAGCATCCGCAAGGATCCGTATCATCCGTAAACATCCGTATCCATCCGTAATTCAATCCGCAGGATCCGCAGACATACGCAGATCCGCAGCGGAATTTTGAAAATCTCAAAATTTTGCTGCGGATGAAATATACGTAAGCATCCGCAGAATATACGTTATCCATACGTAAAATACGTAACTCATACGTAAGATACGTAAACTCATCCGCAGGATACGTTAGATACGTAACTGATCCGCACACTTTGTCGGGTGTGCGGATGCCTGCGGATACATAGGGGTACGTAAACACTATTACGTAGGAGTTACGTATGTTTAACGTATTTTTGACATATATATTGCGGATCTTACGATAGGACTTGCGGTAATTGCGTATGCTTGCGGATGGGATACGAATATTACGGATGGGATACGGATGTTACGGATTGGATATGTATGTTACGGTTGAGATACGGATAATATGCGGAATTTTTACCTATGTCTTCTTTCATTTCGGCGGATGTCGCCCATGCCAAATGGTCTTCACTTAGGTATGCAACCCTGGATGCTGCCAGCATCCTCATCATTGTCAGTTCTTCAACTGTAGACTTTCACAGGTCACTCAAGATGGAGAGAGAACGCCGCCTTGTGTTGCTGGATTGTTTGATGGCCATCCAACACAATCAGATGCAGATGAAGATCCTGATGGCCAAGATGCAAGCCATCCTTGAAAGGAAAAAAGAGAGGATGTGTTGGGTTCGTCACTGGATCACATTGCGACCACACCAGGGTGCCTATGGTAACCTGATGCACCTGCTACGCAATGAGGATGTTCAGGGCTTCCGCAACTTCACCCGCATCACACCTGCCATGTTTGCCGAAATGGTCACCCGCCTCACTCCTCGCTTACAGAAGTATGATACCTGGTACAGGAAGGCCCTTCCAGTAGGCTTGAAGGTCGCCATCACCATGCGCTACCTTGCCAGTGGGGACTCCTACCACAGCCTGATGTACCTATTCTATGTACCCCACAACACCATCTCACTCTTGGTGTTGGACGTGTGTCAGGCCATCTACGCTGAGTATGGCGAGGAGACCATCAGCAACCCATCTACTCCAGAGGGGTGGAAGGGCATTGCCCAGACCTTCTCCGACCGGTGGAACTTCCACCATTGCCTGGGAGCCTTAGATGGCAAGCACATCCGCATCAAGGCACCCGCGAACTGTGGCTCCCAGTTCTACAACTATAAGGGGTACAACTCGATTGTACTCCTTGCCCTGGTTGATGGCAACTACAAGTTCCGGTGGGTGGAGGTGGGAGCAGGTGGTGCGAGTTCTGATGCCCAGATGTTTTTTACCTCTACGCTTCCTCTTGTCCCTTGCCTTGCCCTTTTTTCCACGTCCCGGCTTGCCACGGTCATCTTTGGGGGGTGGGGGAACCGTCAGCTCTGCCAGGGATGGTCCCTCTTCTTCTACCTTTTGAGCCTCTTCCTCTGCCTGGGGAGGCTGTTGTGGCTGCTCACTCACTGGAGGATTCTTCCTGGTTTTTCTGCTACTTCTTCTGCCAGACATGATGCACACGAAAGTCCAAAAAGATGGAGAAGAAACTGTTGAATAACTGGAACTAGATCTCAGACTTGATGAAATGCGACTGAAGCAAGCTCCGATCCACGTGGGTTTATATGCGGATGGTGCGGACGCCAGAGGAAACCGACATGCGCAGACACGAGCGTAACTTATCCGTATCGTCCGTAAGTCATTCGTATCGTCCGTAAGTCATCCGTAAAATCCGTAAGTCATCCGTAAGTCGTCAGTAATATGTGTCAGCGGGTTGGCAGCGGATGGGTTCATCCGCAGGTTTTACCCGTAACATCCGTAATTCATACGTAACATCCGTAACTAATCCGTATCGTCCGCAGAATATAGGTAACTTTTGCTCAAATTTCCGTATTGGGGTTAAAAATTACGCATTTTCATTATCCAAATATACGCAGGCATCCGCAGGTCCGTAACATGGCCGTGTGACTGTAGCATTACTACAGATACAGATATGTAATTACTGAAATACTTACATGCCAAATGTTGATTGTTGAATCAGGAGGCATTCTCATTATCTCCTTACTAATCCTGTTTAATTGACATCCAATCAGAAGTAATCCTACTCTCTTGAGTGTGTAAATAGGCCTGTCTTCATCAGCTCACGTTTGCCAAATAACCCGCTAAATTAGCCAGTTAATTTGCTTTTTCATCAGCCCGAAGTTGCAAATAGCGGGTTATTTGGTCGAGAAAATATCCCAAGAAATCTTGGTCATGTTTCTGAAATATCCCGCTATTTGGGAAATTTCACGCTAATTTGAGCTCGTCCGAGTTTGATGAGCGTATCTGTCTGGTGGAGACAGTATTTTGAGCTTCGGGATGATATCCTGAGTTTGAAAATAGCGGGTTATTTGGCAAACTTGAGCTGATGAAAACAGGCCTTATGTGACAGTGTGAGAATCCATTATTATTATCAGGATCACTGTTGATATATCCTTTGTTGTTATCTGTAATGTGTGGTTGGGTCTTAGTCTATGAAGTTGGGTTCATGCGACAGTCTGTTTTACTTTACGTTTAGAAATCATGGTTTTAAACGTTGAAGTTAAAGATAAACTTGAGTTCTGGTTAAAAAAAAAAAATTCTCACAGAATCTAACGAAACTTACACTGAATGTTCAAGATTACAAATAAATGTCATGTGCTAAACAATTTTGGAAGAAAATGTATACTGGCTGAGTAATGAGCATAGAAAGATAAGGAAATCAGAGTAGTACTAGCCCCGACACCATGTGTGTTGTCCCATATACATCTGTCTGTGTAAGTGATTGTGACTTTACCAAGACTCTGCCAAATTTACGATGATTTTGATGACTCCAGAACCTTGCATTACACACCATTACTTACATGCTATATGATCAACTTTTCTGATCCATTCCACACCTTTTTTTTTCACAATGCAATCGCATTACCAGAACTCAAGTTTATCTTTAACCTATAGTTGGGGACTGTGCTGATAGCGTGATAAGAGCAGCACAGGGCCCTCATTCGAAAGTTTATGCGGACGGACGGAACTCATTTCAAGAGTATAATAGGCCAGCTTGCAGTTCAAATGTCTGCTTCCAGTGTTTGTAGTTTTTGTAATAAGTGTTGTTTTGGTCCCATGTAAATACTTGTCGTTGTAAGTGGATTGTGGTTTATATTATGGTTTCACAAATGAAAAGTGTATTATTTAAAACTACGATTGTCATCGTTCATAAATAAAACTTGAATGTTTGAGCTCAAACTAGAAATTTCTAAACTGTAATCAAGTGCAAATAGGGTATATTTCACTTTATAAAATGGTTCTGTATCAATGGAATTGTGCATGGCTGGACTGTTGTAATAGGTGAAATAGTTTAAAGAAAATTCCCCAAGATGCTCAATTTATTAAAAAAAAAGCAAACTTAATCCAATATGTTGATTAAATCTACTATTAGCTGTTACTTGAATCTCCTTTGAATTTAATCTCTCAACCCGAAGTTGATAGCTGTCTGAAATGAAATTGTTTACATGTACATACATGTATACAATATGATTATGTTGTTATCTAATACCACAAATCAGTTTTGCTATAGTCCATCTTGGAAGGTTATTAATTCATTGACAATATGCCCTTCTGGGCAAGTAAAGATGTTGCTGGGGCTAGTGGATATTCATTATCCCTAGTTGCTGACAGGACAAGGTCTTTATAGAATTAGAAGAGTGGTTATTATAAGCATGGATCTATTTTGAGACACAAAGATGGACTGATGACGTCAATGCTATATAGCCTAGGCCTATGAAGCCCAATGTAGCAGTGCGTTTGTTATTTATCTATATTTCACCCATAATAATTCTCACTATTGTTTAAATCTACCCATCCTTTGGCATTGTTTATGATTTGATTGACGTGTTCATACATGTATATAGGTCATGAAGTTAATGATATCCCCAAGGCCTGATGCTCAAAGATATAGCAATGATCAAAAAGATTATTAGAGCATTATAGAACCCCACCCCAAAAAACAAAACAAAAAGCAATCAATACTTGTTATTTGTAAACCAGTTTGATCTACATAGCCCAGAAAATGGCTAAATATTGCACAAATAAACTCCTTAAAAAAGTTCTGGAATTCAAGTTTTAGCTTTGACATCTCTCTTGTAAATAATTTATGTTTTATGGTATATACATTTATTTGAAAGGAAGGAAAGAATTATTGTAAATCGAAGAAGAAGAAGGAAATTGAATTGATATTGATTTTCAACTTTGAATTAAATTTTGCATTTATGGGGATGGATGAATGTGGTTGATTGTATTAACCTACAAGTGCACTGTGATTTTCTGTGGACTGGTGCTCACTGCTGACCACCAAGTCAACATGATCCAAGACTGTTTGATCTGTCTTTACAGCCCTATCGCACCACCCAAGACAAACAGATGCACCATAAATGACCACTGAATAATGCAATCAGGAGACAGACAGATCTCAACCTTACATTTGTAGTGGCCAAGATTTTCTTCTTCTTCTTCTCCTTCTTTATCAGTTGAGAATGGATGTTATCTCCAGAAGTGGTTTTGAATGATCTGTAGGTGTCTTGATAAGTGAAGGCTTAAGAGCTAGAGAAAAATATTGTAAACATTGTATAAAAAAATATTGTATAAAGAAATGTACAAGCTCAACAAAGATATATATAGGGAATGTTTGCAAGACTGAAAATTTGTATTTTCCACTCCAGTTTTTAAAACATTAAAACCTGTCTATTATGGCCATTAAAGGAAACAGAGAAAATGACCACTTTAGACAGGTGGCTTTTATCAAGAGGTTGCTGCTCACATATAGGTTTGACTGTATTGCTTGAAAGATTATAATTGACACATTACAAACTAATATACTTGATAGACAATTTACAGAAATTTACAAGAGGAATAAAGCATTTCTTAAACTATTTTAGCTGCGTCACCATCTTAGTAGAAATGTAAATAGACATTTAAAGACCGGAACGGAATTCCTCGGGCTGGTTGAGGTTGTTTGCAAACTCTAGCTACATCCTTCCATAAGACACCATCACACAAGACTGAAGTCATAAGCTATTTTAGGGTGACCATAGATCGTAATCTTTTAAGATCAGAAGAAATCGCTAGAGTCGGGTGATCTTAACACTTACTCGATGAATGGTAGTTTGATGGCTGATGCACGGCAATCAGGAACATGATAGATCAAGATGATTTTGTTAGTTGGTTGCAGATAAGAGGGAAAAGCTTGTTTGAAGAGCAGCAAGTCTTTTTATAGAAAGAAGAGGAGAGCTAGGCACAGGATTTGCAGAGAAGATCTTTCAGATTTTACAAAAATTCTGCAGTTTGGTTGAAAACCGTACATCTTATGAGTAATTTGCTTGATTGATATTAACTGCCAGAAGTTTGAGAAACCATCTGTCCAAAGCAGTAGTTTGAGGAAAAAGGAATATTTTTGTGCTCAAAAGATATGTTCTAAATTCATATCGAAGGACATCAAAGGAAGATGGTATTATAGGTCTTACTCGCTGTTACTGAAGATGCTGTATGGCTGCCTGTTCACCACCTTAACTGTTATTCACTTCAACCAGTAGATCTAAAGCTTGCGGGAGAACCCACTGTACATGCTTTTCATAGAAGAAATAGAACCATTGTAAAAGCACTTTTCATTTCATGACTGACATGGATGGCAAAGTTTGGACCTGGAAGGCTGCAACTTGAAATTGAAACAATTTTGGAATCTTATTCCTGAGTAACTACTTGAATAAGAACTGTTTGACTCTCAACCCGTTTATGGGTAAAAAATTGACATAGTTACAGGGGATTGGCAAATTAAGAGACTAAATCCAGGCAAAACTTTTGATGTAGGTATAGCTCAAGAAAGCATCAAGTTGGTCTATTATTGTTCTGCCATTGACTATGGATGTGGAATAATCATAAAATAAACTCATTTGAAAGTTTTAACAACAAAGCAACGGAGATCGGAAGCAGAGCGTTGTGTGTGTCATTCTATTATTGTTGTACAATGGTGGGCAGCCTTTTACAAGGCCTTGGTCAAAGCATATCCCAAAAATAGTTCCAAGTATACACTGTACTCTGACTTAGAAGTGCCAATTTGTTTCTGGGCCGGTGAATATAGACATGCAGTGAACCTGAAGTATTTTTTGTTATCATTTTATTGAAGGACACAGCAAGAGAAACACCATGGTGAGTAAATTGAGTGCTACATCTAAATTGCTACAGTACTTCATATAAAAGCAGTTATTGTTGCAGTACCACTGCCGAGATTGATTAATTTTTGTGGCCTTATGAATTGAATTTCTGTGTTTTGTTTTAAAATGCATCATGTCGCTGAATGAATAATAGTCTACGACGCCATGATTGGAAATTCAATAGAAGTTTCACTCTGTGGATACTGGATAGGAAAGTATTCAATATTTCTCACTTAATCTGACAGCGTAATGTGATTTGAGAGATATTCTACAGGTAAAGGTACCATCATCGTCACTGTACATTTCCCCCATTGCACCAGTGTACCTGTTCCTTGGATTATTATAGGAGAATTATGTAATGTTGTTGGATCACTATCTGTACCATGGCAACTGTGCTTCACCAAAATCAATTGGATACTGTAAGCAGCTCTCGCAATTGTGTAATCATCTTTACCTTTCATTACCATTAGTAACATTATTTCCATAATTTACATCACTGTAGCAGTCATTATCATCATCATCATCATCATCATCATCATCATCATCATCATCATCATCATTATCATCATTATCATCATCGTCACCCAAGAAGTTCTGGATGCATTGACTCCTTGCACGATACATTGCATCCAATACTGGATTGGGACAATCTAAAATTAAGAGTGAATGTTGTGGCGTAGTGACTCGAGAAGAAGAAGAAGAAGATCATCATTAAGATCACCACCTCTGTTTAAATCATCACCATCATTGTTTTTATTTCTATCACTGGTAGCATCATCATCATGGAAGACCACCAAATTGGTGATATGTGCCACCCTGTATAAATATCAGAAATAAATAAATAAATAAATAAAAATCATAGTCATTTTAATCAATTCATCATATTATCGTCATCATTATAATCATTATCCTTTATTATTTTTGTAAATATCTATAGTATCTCCATTGTTGTACCCTTCTCAATAATGTAAATATCACTACAGATATGGTTTTTAAACATGAATATGATATTTTTGCCATTTTTTTATTTTACACTCGTGTATGAGTAATACTTTACTTTCCCACAGTGTTTTGATAACAAAAATTTAAAAGACATGTTAAACATTGAAAAACCATCAAAAGAAGTATGTAGTGTGGGATGATTCCCAATTTCTGATGATTTTAATCGAAGATCAAAAGATATTTTGTATTAAAAAAATGTATACATGTAGCATTTAAATGTCTGTAACCTCTAGATAAAATGTTCTTGTCGGAGAGACTTGTGTAACATTGAACAATATTATTGTAGTTGCTCTCCCTCTTTCAAGTAAGCTACTATACAGACTCTAAAATATTCTAAACATTTGATCTGTATATTTTTCAAATAAAGCAAATCATCTCTGTTAATTTCAAGCCTTGTAAGCTTTATTATGAATATAAATGACATTTTGTTTGCGTGGAAAATGATAAATTTCTGTTTGCTCATTCTTTTGCCCTGAGGGTCTACATGAACAGGAGATTTGAATGGAAAGTATTTGTCAAGAATGTGTGACAAAAAGATTCATAGTTCATACTTTTGAATCAGGCTTTGAATGGTGTTCTATTAAAGACCCTGTCGGTAGTGAAAAATGAAGTAGATGAATCATATATACAATGAAAGCTTATAATAGCCATATATTACAATAATTTCAATTATATGCTATTTTAGTGTCTGCCAGAGGAGTAATAGCTCTCTGATAACTCGAAATCTAAAGCTTTGAAAATCGGAACTGAAAGGGTGAATACTTTCAATCTTTTATATTTGTATTCATTCAGCTTTCCATTGATATGGAGCCTTGATTTTATGAAAGAAGATTTGAATTGAGCAGAAATAATGTTGAAAGACTGGTTTTTTAACAAGGTTATTTTTTAATTCATGTAGAAGCTTTGTTCATAGCAAGTTTCTGTCTCCCCCTTTAATACAAATTGTGAAAACAAAATGATGTTTCATAGACGATGATTCTGTAGGTATTCAATAAATACTTCAATTGTTGTTGTACCATGATATATCATACTATTATAAATGAGTTTCATTTATACAAGGAATAGAAACAGAATTTAAGTTGACACAGTGTTTACATTGTGTAGTATGAACTAGATCTGCACTAAACTTCCTCTTGTCTGCCTAGATCTATGCTTCCCAAATTTTGCCTGAGCGTTTTCACATTTTTTTCTTTCTCATTCTTATTTTTTGTTTAACTTGTCAAAGTGGGTTTGGAACTCTGCCTCCCTCAAGTAGTCCTGCTAATCACTTAATGCCACAGTCACATTGGCAAGACCAACACCAAACCCATAATAGACCAAACAACAAATATTTTCAGCTAGTCCAAGGTCTATGTTCATTGTCCCATGCATACATCACAAACTATTATAGAGTTTGACCCAAATTGACATCTAATGTGTCTTTCACTTCATATATGGTCTGATAAAAGCTCTGAATTAATTGATTACAATGATCAGACACTAGAAATATTAAATGTGGTCTTTGTATATGCTCTTTCCTAAATGGTCCAGATATTGCCATTTATCAGTTCCTATAACTTCTGTGTAACTGTTTTTTCTTTCAAGTACAGTTGTGTGACTAGTGCCATTGCACTTAGGGTCATAAATTGGGGAGTGTTCTTGGTGAAATTAGTTTTTACCTGCCAAAAAATTGAGTACATGCACACCGTTATTTGTCTAAAATACACATATCTGACAGGATAGTAATTGCTTTGTTTGGAAGATTGCAAAGGCAAACATTCAGAAGTTAAATTTGATATAAGTCTGAAGTATTTACAAAGACACCACTATCAATTGGACTCTTCCCAACAGACAATCATCTAGCTGGTCCACATTGCCACAACAGCATTGTGAAAGATGTTTATTTTTAGCTGAATGCAATTTATGAAATAGAAAAATGGCCGGAAATGGTCCATGACTTGACGTTTACTGATGGTCCTATCTGGGAATCACTCATCTTTGTTTGGATGTGTATTTTTTTAGGTGGGCGTTTGTGATTTTCTAATAAAAAAGTAGGCGATGACACTTACATGTACATGCTTGTACTCAGTGTCTTGTGTGTTTCCTTACTACCATGGTAATAGAATCTGTTGAGATAGTGGAAGGCTATCAATTTGTGTATACACGCAGTTTGCTGAAGGAGGTTCTCATATATATATTCATTAATTTTATCAAGTGTTTGAGTTGAAGTAACTTTCCAATTTGAACACAAAAAAAGAGTTGTGAATTCATTTGTGTTACTGCCTCTGGAGTGTGGAGTGCATTTTATCCTTACCGGGTATTTCCTGTGTGATATGGGGATCTCGCTTGATAATATGTCTCCGTTCTCAACTAGTTTGAAGAAATTTGTGAGTTTCTCTTTTTATGAGTTCTGTATGGAGTTTTTAATTTTTTAAATTTTATATCAGGGATGTCAGTTCTCAATTTTTTACCTGATTAGTGATTTCAGACCCTTTAACCCTTCCGTTTCAGAACTTTTCAGCACATACGTGTATGTGGAGCGAAAATGAGTTTATGAATGTACAGTGTATGTGCAAAATTTCTGATCAGAGGGCTCTGTGGTTTCCTTTCTATAGTATGAGTGATAAAATTGACGCCCCCATTTTGTACACACATAATGGGGTAAATAAAACGCTGTAAGTTACAAAATTCATATTTGACAAGAAATATGACAGTAATTTTGCTAATAATGAATGTTTTGCCACCATACTTGTAGGAAAGTTTTCAATTATGATTATGGCCCTTATACAATTTTTGAGATTTTTCGCCATACAAATCCCTGCAAGGCCCTTAAATCGTGTCGCATATTTGTACTGTACATACTTTCTTCATATTTATTACAATCTGATGAATATCTCTTGTTGTTCTTTATGCAGGTAAGACATACGTTGAAGCGCGCGTCAAACGCGATGGTTAGACCGCCTTCTATACACCTGATAGAGGTTAAAATTACCACTGAGGTAAGTTTCAATGAAAGCTACATGAATATGTAAAGCAAATCTTAGGATGTGGTAAAATATTTTTAGTTATGAGAGTTTTTAAATTGATTGAAATAAAATATTATCAGTGTAATAAGGAATAAATTTTATCATGGACATATTGCAGAAAAACACTAGCTCTACTATGCTTAGATATATAGGCTGTTGTGAAGGTATTTTTAATAAATTCTTCCTCAATGTCAACCTGGGTTCCAAATGAAAGGAAACTCCTTCACTGTGAAAGTTCTATTTCCTGTATATTTGTGTCTTGTCATGTTACTTCTTATTACTTCTCTTCCTTGTTTTCTAAATGGGCATGTCCAAGCTAGGTCATTCCCTGTCCAAGAGGCTGTTCACACCGGCAGAGATAGCGCGCGCTAGACCGCGCTATCTCTGCGGTTTGGAAGGTACAACGTCGTTTCGGTCCGCCCAACAGAGAGCCACGGCGAGCCAAAATGATGTGCCACTGGAGCACCTCTTGGGGGTGGTTCACGAGAGATAGCGCGGTCTAGCGCGCGCTAAAAAAAAGGGGGTGCTACGATAGACCGCGCTATCTCATTGCGGTGTGAACAGCCTTCAATATATACTATAAGGTGTTAGTGTAGATTAGTTTAGTTTAGTTTAATTAACAATAGTTTATTTTAATCGAGGGCTGCAATAATTTCAAGCATCATGCTTACGCTGTATCCCTCCTATATCATGTTAATTGTAAACATGAGTAATGTTCTCCTATGTATTTATGTTCTATACTATATGAGTATCATGTATTGTACCTTGAAACATAAATTATATCACACTGATGGACATTACGTATGTTTAAAATATGTATGTTTAAAATATGTTATAGAAACCAATAAATCAAATCAAATCAAATCAAATACATTTCCCAATTATCTTGACATCCAAGAACATAATGAACCCTGAAACTACCGGTATTATTTGTCTTGATATTTTTACTACTGGTACCTGCCAGGTACTCCATATATGCAGTAGGGCTATTAATATGAACTTAACCTACCAGTAATAATAAGGTATACTAAAACCTTTGATGCAGTTGGGACAAAATACTTGAGACTTGCCCAACTATTCTGTGTTTGTGCTGCATCGATCATGATATAACTGGATTATCTTATGTTTTTGTACAGGGGGAGGTAGAAACAGTACTGCCAATAACAGCGGATGAAGAGGTAAACCATATGATTTGTTTTTGTATTATACAACATTTGCTCCAGCGACAATTGCTCCGAGCTTATTTCCACAAAGATAAAGGTTTATACAGTAGTTAGAGTTGCGGTTGGGTTTTAGGTGAAGTTTAGGGTTAGGATAGAGTGTTTGGTCGCTGCTCAAAGTTATGAAGTCGGTTATTGTAGGAAATTGATCGCGGAGCAATTGTCACAGTAGCATGTGTTGTACAATCTAATATTTGAATTTCATTCCTTTCCTTCTTTTGTAGAAAAGCTCAAGTCAAAGCAGTAGCAGTAGTTCATATCAGTTTCAGGTCTATCATCATCTTTGACAGCTAGTTTTTCATCTTTGTTTGTTTTTCATTTGCTCTTGTTATTCATTTAGAGTATATCTATTTTGTTGACCAATTTTTTTACAAGGATAATCAAATATATGGGGAAAAAAGGCGTATTTAGCTTTGCATTGAGCATCACACAGAGAAATGCTGGGTTTGAAGGGCCATTTCTATTTGACCCAAATAATCCCATTTGACTGATATCAAGACCAATAAAATATAATTAAATAACTGTAGCTTTTTCATACATTGATCTCCTGAAAATGATTTTGGAAGAGGGATTGATTTACCAACGTAAGACTGCTGGGTATGTTCTAGTGAATATAGGGTAGTTTGTTTCTGTGAATGCTCAAAGAGCTAAATATACGCTTATATTTAGAGCCCCTATTTAAACCCTTATGCATGCCAAAAGGCCAAAGGTAATGTTTGGTGGAAATGTTTTTAAAAGTTTGCCAAATAGGGGATCATTTTGAACTCCACTAATTATCATGTGTTTCACCTTTGAATATGAAGTGATGAACGTCACTTGGGTGTACACTGAACAGCAAATCACTGGGATATTCATTGTGAAGTTCTCACAAAGACCAATGGTCAACTCGAGTGACAAGATCATTTTATTTCCTGGTATGGTACGAGAGAGAGCTTTACACCACAAGGAAGAAACCTTCCAAGTGAGTGATTTTTTTTACCAAATAAAGACAGATGAAATGCTGATCGGATTAGGAAGATTGGGAGGATTAGCTCTTCTCGCTTCAGCTACAATACCTGCATATATTGTGGGCAAAAAAACCTGAAATGACTCTCAAAGCCCCGAGCTCTGAAGTGTTGGGAGCCCTACAAATTTGATGGCAAAATTTCACTTAAATTATATCATAATGTAAAAGAGGATGTCATTTAAAACACATTTCTGCAAGGATTTTCAAAACAAATGTGTTTGCAGTCAAATATTTATGAAAAAAATACAAATTTAGGTTTCTGCATATACAGAAAACCCAAATTCTTTTATCAATATTTGTCTTCAAGCACATTTTTTTTTTTGGGGGGGGGGGGCGGAGGGGGGAGAATCTTTGCAGAAGTGTGTCTTAAATAAATGACATCCTCTTTCACATTATGATACAATTGAAGTGAAATTTTGCCATTACATTTTTGGTGAATTTGGGGCTCCCAACACTTAAGAGGGGCTTTAAAATAGATGGAGAAACTTCCTTGAAGATTTGAATGTAGATGTGAATAAAGTGTGGACAAAAAAAATTAAATTACAATTTAAATATTGCTTATGTTACTCATTTTCATTATGTTGCTTTTAAAGCTTAACCAGCTTAACTCTATTGTGTACCAGCACTTTCATGTGCTGCCTGCACCTGCTCTTTAATTGGCATGCATGTACAGTTGGTACGTGTACCTGCACTTCTCACAAACTTCAAGCATGCTACAATGAATTGCCGGAAGTGAATGTGTATGAACAAAACAGGACATGCATTATTCTAATTGTTATTGATGTTATTTTAATGGGTGTCAATGCAATGTGTTGTAAGTGTAACATGTGAACTCAATAAATAGTATTGAAAAAGGATATGTACCGCTTTGTGAAAATACTGGGAATTGATCTGGGTTCTCAAGCAGAAAGTATTTTTACTTTTTCTTTCTCTTTGAGGATATTTCAACAAGCAATGATTCAATGGCTAGATATAGAAACATTAAGAATGAAAACATATTTGCTTTTGTATTTTTTCAAAGAAATGAAGAATTTGTAACGGTTATCTTATAGATGTTGAAGGTTCACCTCTATATGCATATAAGTACCACCCCTACACACACACCAAACTACTGCTACTTTCGTCAATATTTGACTAATTTGATAAATTCTGTTTATATTTGTGTCACCAGTTGAAAAGAGAGAAAGTCTATTGTATAAACCTTCATATGGGTCAATTTTTAGGATGTGTTCCGATATTTGTTCAGGCTGTGATCGATAGCCAGTACATATATCACATTTGTGGTTGTTTTTCATCGGTGACAAAATAAAGTAATGAAATTGGGCTTCCTAGTGTCATACAGAGTTGGAGGAGTTTGGGCTCAAGGTCCCTTTAGAAGAAGAAGAAGAAAAAGAATGAGGGAAGAAGAGGAGGAGGAGGATAAGGAAGAGAAGAACAACAAATAGAAGAGTTAAAAGAAGTAAGAGGATGAGGATGAGAAGAAGAAGAAGAAAGTGGTCAATAAAGGTATATACCGTAACAACAACAACAACAAATTTTTTAAAAAGACCAGGTTATGAAATAGCACATGTTTATTAAAAATGGAATTTAATTGGGTGTAACGTGAAACAGAAAGAGAAATCAGCATGTAGGATTGCATGGCCTGTTGTATTTGTGCAAGCATGTGTATGACCACCAGTATAGCTAATTGTTAGTGGCAGCGTATTGAAAAGAAATCACTAACTTTTTATCGAAAGGCTTTTGAAATCAAATGACTCAATCGTCCACTTACTATTATGGAGCTGGAGGATGAGCTAATAGTGCTGGTAGGGTTCACTGTGTACTGTTGTCAAGGCATATATAGACAGCCAAATAATTCAGTCATACCGCTGAAGCCGACTCCAAACCAACCGTTAACTTGGCGTTCAGTGTGAGATTTTTCGTTCAGTTTGTTATTGTCATGATTGTTGGTGTGATAAGAAGGGGTTAATTGCAGCTTTTTTTAGCCACTGTCCTGCAGTGCATTGCCTGAAGTTTGTATTGTTATTTGTAAGTCATCTCCAACCCTTGAACAATTGATTTTGATGTATCTAGCTGTGCAAATATTTATTTAATCATGAATATGCATGAGATATGAAAGAGCATGTCTCATCATGCACACTGAGGTTATTCTTAGTGTTGACTCAATTTATTCACAATGTTGATTTATATCTCATATCTCGTGCTCTATAGTTGTCCATTCCATATTTCGTTGCAAGGTGTAATTCATTGTTCAGCTAGAGAGTTATATTGCCATAAACTGTAATATCTCTGCCGTGCTATGTCCAGCCAAGTGAATTAGTTATAAACTTCTCTAAGTGAAACAGCACATTTAACCAGAGTAAGCCTATTTTGTTGGGGCTTTGATAGTAATAGACCAGATTATACAAAAGTTAATTGATGTTTCAGTACAGAAAAAGCTGTTGATGTATACCTGACACACCACTGAATGTTTCAACTCCCAAAGTTTCTTGCTACGATCATGGCTATCATTGACACTTTGAAAAAATTCATGACGTGAAAACTTCTGGTTTTAAGAGTGCGTTATTGTGGGAATTGAATCAACGCTCACTCATGTACTTCACTCTTATATGTTTATTCATTTACATGATCCTTTTGTTATTGATGTTGTTGCTATTGTTATTTAGATGGAGTTCAAGGAATTCTACTCTGCCGTTCTGCAGACCCTCCTTCACCCTCTGGGAAAGGTAGACGGCATGAAATTCAACCCTCTGGAACTTGTTGGACATCTGCAGAGGGTGAGTGAGCAAAAATATTTTCAAGAAAATTGGATCTGCAGGTACTGTAAATACTTTCTTTAGAGTCCTCTTACACGCTCTCTTCTAGGTGATCCATCATTTACTGCTTGTGCATCGAGATTGTGAATTGGTCTTCCCCAAATCCTTAATTGCTCTTGTCACCAGTTATCCACTTTTAGAACTCAACTAAAGACATACATATTTCAGATTGCTTACAATTAGTCACTGCCTTTTTTGTCTTTCCCAGTAAGAATCATGGACAGACATTTTGGTAGTTTTTCAGTCTCATCAGCGCCTATGATTAGGCATCTAGATATTGGCGCTTTATAAATTCCTGGATTGGATTGGATATATAACAATTCAATTTGTTAATTCTTGTGTTTCTTGGCATGTTTGAATCTGTATCAACGTTATGATATATATATATAGTTCATTCATTTGGGGGGATCAGTAGAGATTGAAAGATTTTTAATCCTTTCAATGATATATTCAAAAGTTACTTTATTGTTGAATACCTTGTGGGGGTAAATATTGGATTGGGAAGTTTAATAGGAAAAGCAAACACAAAAGCATATCTGACTGCGCATGCATGAAAGTAGGATTGATAACATATATACCGGCCCAAACCTGTGTAATAATTCATAAGTAATTCTTGTTAACACCATAGTTAATTGAAAGTCAGAATGGCCTTGCAGCATGCAACTAATGAATATTGCGGTCTTAAGAGCTACTTCAAATGACCTTTGAACTGTATTATGACTCAGAATACAGACTACATGTAGGCTATTGTATTATGGACTGTTTTTTGTGGACAACAAGTCGGCAAAGAGAAGTGGTTAAGAAATTTGACCTCTATTTTCTGATTAAATGTTTGTCAATTTGACCGTAATTGTAACACACTCAAATAAGTTTTAGTGATGGCCTAGTTCATCTCATATCATGGAGAATTTTGATAACTGCAGAAAACTTATTAATTATTGCTATCTTCTCAGCATGAATCATCTGAAACACTGCATGATTAACTTGAAATGAGAAATTTATTTAATTTGTAACATCTATGTATATGAACCTTGTTTCTGTCTATGTATTTTGTCTATGAATGCAAATGGTTATATGCATAAGAAGAAGGAAAAAAAATCTATGTTGTCATGAGATGAAGAGAAATTTGCCTTTCTAACTTTTTTACCAATGTTTTATTACATTTGTTGAAAGTCATTTAGAGAGAGAGAGAGAGAGAGAGAGAGATAAAAGAAGAATGAAAAAGGGAGGGATGATGTATTTTGTAATGGCACTGGCAAATATGCTTTTGGGTTGTGTCATGACATAATAGTCACTGTCAGTTATCCATCTTCTTTTTGTCTCTTCCAGATATTCCATGTTCCTAATGCATCCCACAGTACACTAGTGAAGGAGGAGGTCAACAGAAGAGTGAGTATTAATTATCTGTGAAAAATAGGGTACCCGGTAGGTAAAATGGAGACTGGAAATGAACATTAGAGAGGATAATATGGTATTGAAATATGTATTCTCCCTTTCTACTACAGTCAAACCTTTCTATAGCAACCGCCCAAGGGAAACACAAAAAGTGGTCTTTGTAGATGGGTGGTCTTTGTAGACAGGTTCCTTTAGTACATGTTTCAATAAGAAACCATTTTCAAGGGAAACAAAAAATGTGCTTGTTGTAGACAGGTGGTCACTAAAGCAGGTTTGACTGTATCTCCTTGTCAATTGTGCTTAAATCTATTTATGTATATGTAATGAACACGCTTCTTTTGATATTGACCAAACTGATTTAGACATACAATAATACAAAGAAATCTTTGGTTAGAATTCACAAGTGAGTTCCACTCAAAACCGTGACTTAGTTGCATTTACTAAAACGATAACATCATTTTTTAGAATACTACCCCTTGTCACATAGAACTGTGAAACATGTTCTATTTAGTTTAATGTGCTATTTCTATTTCATGTTTAATTCTTGACTTATCTTAGTCTTATACTTTTATTTTTCTTTCGTTATCCCCTCATTTTTGTATCTAAATGATTAATTGTCTCCATTTCTGCTGTTGTATGCATATTTGGTTGTGTTTTTATTTTATAAGATGTTATCTTCTTTATCCTCTTTCTATTATATTTTGTTATTAACATGGTTGTTATTTGTTATATGTACTGTATTATTTCATATGTATGTATCTATGCACAGACTTGTGGAAGTACAGCTAATGTCTGAGGCAAGGCCGGGTCTCTGGCTGTGCTGAAATGAAATCAAATGAAAGTAAATTTTAAAAGAGAGATGTTATTTTGCCCATTCCCAGCCGGATCGTTTCTTTCTGAGGGTGACTGTTGTGGAAGCTAAGGATATCAAGGGAATGGATCCTAATGGTGAGTTACTTATCAGTTTGAAGTCATACTGTACTAGACGCTCTACCACAAAATCCCCTCTAGTACTATCTCAGGTCAGCTGTAGCAGTATGGTCCCGTAAATTGCTGCTTCTGTAGCTGCACTGTTGGTTCTCACAGAAGAAAAAATATCTAATTGCTGTTTTATATTTGTGTCATAATTTTGGACTTGAGACTTTACCCTTGGACGCACAGCCTTTTGACTACATGTAATTAACCACATCTAACACATTCCAGAAGAGATTTTATCGTGTACTTTACGATATTACATAGCAAACAAAAGTTGAGTACCAGAGGCTATCAAAAACATATGTAAAGTGAAAACACTGTACATATCATCTGTTGAGAGCCAGAACAGCGTTTTTGAACTCATAGAGGTGCTGTGGACGAGTGGATAAAGTCGCCGGACTGTGGATCACAAGGTCCGTGGTTCAAGTCCCGCCGCAGCACTAATGTCCTTTGGCAAGACATTGATCTACATTTGCCACTCTCCACCCAGGTGTTAAATGGGTACCCGGTAGGATGCGAAAGCTAATGTGGTTAGATTAGCAAGTGTGCGCATGTAAAAATGACGCCTGGCTGGAATGCTCCCCAGGGAGTGGAGAATGTGCATACATTGTGTGCGGGTGAGCCTGAATCCAATGACCGGGGTAATAATATACTTATCTGTAAAGCGCTTTGTGAGGGCCTCCGGTCCTGAAAAGCGCTATATAAGAATGAGCTATTATTATTATTATTATTATATCACTATACATATAGGGAATGCCCTTCCAGCTCCTTACAGATCAATTATACATATATTATAAGATATTAAAAATGTGTGATTTTCTCAGTACAACAAGCAAAAATTACATAAATGCACTGGCATATAGAGTTTGAAATAATAAGAGGAGGGTATTGCTTGATAAAAACACAGGAAATTGTTAACAACATTAATCAATTACAGTAGGCTTGCTGTTGCACCATATGAGAGAGGGGGAGGATTGGGGAGTCCTGAAAAGGACTCTCAGTATTCTTTCTTATCAATTAATTTGTTTATGAATAATGTAGTTGTTCTAATTTTGTTTTATCTCTTATACGAATCTGTCTTATTCAAGCTACAAGCTCAAGCAACTTGATAGGTTTTGCAGGAAATGTTCTTTTGAGCCTATGAAGTCATACCATTTTGAAAACACCATCAGCATATTGTCTTTGTCATACACATGCTCTTTGTTGATTTCATTTTCTGTTGTGAAATGAGGGTAGGTTCAGTGCATTTATTGAATCTAAACTAGGTAATATTTTGTTGCTAAGCAACATAACTGAACATCAGGCACTATTGTGCTGTACAAATTTCCCACAATTGATTTGAAACAGTAATCAAATATTTTGGGCGGAATTTATAGATACGAAAGTTTGTGTGCGGTGCCTAAAAATAAACGTAACCATTGGCGTCACAAGTGTATTTACCATCTTTGGCACGTTCCTCCCTTATCTTCAGTCATCTTCATACTAGCCTTGAGTCAATGTACAGTTTATGCCGAGTTGTATATTTCATAGATTGTTTAGACAGATGCGCATTCAACAAAACGTGAGCTGCACTTTGTATGTTTGCCACCACATCACAATGTCAACATTCCAACTTTGTGTTAAGCAGAAAAAGAGGGAGGACAAAAAAAGGAATTAGTAAAGTAACCTCATGTCTGAAGATTTATCCAAGAAAATGATTGACATATATCAAAATTCAGGTGTGTTATCATCCCTCTTTCAACATATTGTTAATTTATTTTTATTTTTTTGTTTGTGAGCCTGTCATTATCTGAGTACCGGTACTAGTAATATTACTGTGTATTATTTTTACTGAGAAGGATTACTGTACTGTAACAAAGCCCTGGAAAACGTCCAATAGAGTATTTAAGTTCCCTCGATGAAATCACACCTTTTCATCTTTTCACCAAAGAGCTGCCAGTAACACAAAAACTTTTAACATTATAAAGATTTGTTTGTCCTTTTTTGTCATTTTCATCAAACGCGGAAAGTCCCAAGTCCAAAAGACTATCTATTATTGGGCATTAAAATTGATACCGGTACTCTCTCCAACAAAGCTCTGGGGAAAAAAAATGAAAGGAATGTTTCTATAAAACTACTCTTTTCGAATTTTTAAAACTCTTTCATGGTAAATCAGGGAGCTGCCAATTACATACACACGCACACGTACACACACACACACAATTACTTTTGCTATTATTTTTTTTCTTCATTTTTATCACCTTGAAAGTAGGAAGAAGAAGAAGTAGTCTAAGAGTAGTAACTAAGAAAAGTGAGTATATCATCTGAACAACAGAGCTTTCCCAATCACTCATGTAGCTTTTTGATAATTCTATATCATATCATAAATCATTGCTGATTGAAATCTGACATATGATCTCTAAAGCTGCCAATATATATCATGTGTGAATTCATTTCTTAGTCATGCTGTTTCAGAAAATATCATAATTATATTCTTTCACCAAATGTAACATGTTCTGATCATCATGCAAGACATTTTTACTTTTTAGTTTGAACACTAGAAAAGAAAAATTGAAACTTTCATTTATGTTTGATATTGATCACTTGATAAAATTATCAAAGTCTCTCAAAAAACATTCGACTACATCAAAAAATGATTTCCAGTGTTTCAGGTGAGAAGTACACAAAGGTTCATTTTAATGGTTACCAATACAATTTTTGCTAATTTGTTATTCTACTGTCATAATAAGGATGATTAAGTTTTGGAAAGGTATTTCATGTCTTTTTGTAACTCTCTAACAATTATAAAGAAAATGAAGATAAACCTATCCTTATTAAGAAGGAAAACATAAAGAGAAATATACCATTATTTCATCATCAAGTACACTTAAAACTCCTTCAAATTCATTAAACACAATGGCCCGATTTCATAAAGGAGGTTTAGATTTAACCCATGGTTTAAACCTGTATTACATAACCCATGGTTTAAAATTAGCACAAAATAAGCGAAACACAGTCAAGAGGTCCAATATTAGACGCATGCAAGGCAAGGTACGCTTATTTTGTGCTAATTTTTCAACCTTGGGTTATGTAAATGAAGGTTTAAACCATGGGTTAAATGTAAACCTCCTTTGTGAATTTGGGCCTATAGCAATACATCCCCACCCCATGATATCAGCATATTGATAGGTCAGCAGCCATGTTTTTGATTGATCTCTGTAATACATACATGTTTTCATTTATATTGTATATTTGTTATCTACATTTCCTGCCTAGTGGTACCTCTCTGTATAAATCTTGTATACAAGTACATACATATATTCAAATAAATCAATATCATGTATTTATCAAACATATTTCTTACTAGTACATTGACTACATTTGACTGAAACTTCTTTTCTTTTTTTGAAGGAATACATTAACTATCATCTTGCATGACCTGATGAGATATGTACAGAAAAAAACATTTAAAGTAAAATTTGCATAGCAATCCGTAAGAAGACATCAATGGCATGTTAGAAATTATGAAATAAAACTGCTAGTGGAAATTAGTAAAGCAGTCTTTAAAACAGGTCTGTAGAGGTACAGTGAATATAAAATACTCCTGGACAGAGAAAAAAAAAGTGGTTGCTGTCAAATTGTGGTCTTTCTTTACATGTTCACATATCACCTTTATCACTTTGGTTGCTTTCATTGCCTCTCTGCCAGGTCATTCGTTTGCCAAACGTCCATATTTGCACAAACAATAGGCAACGATTGAATTGCTTTGTGGAAGTTTGTGCAACACAGTGGTTTTGCAAACTTACCCATTTCGTGTTTTGATTAGCTCCATGACAACCCTCTTAACACTGGTACAGATTAAACTTGCACTTGATTACAGTTGAATGATATTCAAGCCTTTTGGTTTATCTATCCCATGATAAATACACTGTGACACATGGAGATTAATTGTGTGGCAAATGAAGAGTGAATAAAGATTTCTATGAAAAGCAAACACTCATGGGAAACAACATGAGGTCTTTCTGATAGATCACTAAAAGCAGGTTTGAATGTAAAGGCTGATTACCTGCATGTGTATGATCAATGTGAAATCTCCTTTATCTCCTTCTATAGGTATGAGTGATCCGTATTGCATCCTGACCCACTGCAACAAGGCATTCAGTAGCCCCGCCCAGCAACGCTCCTCCCACCACCACTCCCATAACAAGGGCCACGCCCGTAGCGACAGCTTTGACCAGCTCCTTGGCTACCAGTCCCACCAGCCCATGCAGCATTCTAACACTCTTCCGCTCTCCTCGGCGAACAGTACCGGCAAGTTCCTCTCGCCTCAGACATCTCTACCAGAGGCCACTCATCATCTTAGTCTAAACAGGAACGTTCAGAGGAACAGGAGCTTCAACCGCAAGGACAGGCGTAGGAAGTCCCTGGAACACCTTGGTCTTGGTAGGTAATGGTGGCTCAGTGGTAGATAGAGCAGGGGTCTCATAGCTGGGAAGGCCTAGGTTCAAGCCGATTAATTAATGGTGGCTCAGTGGTAGAGCAGTGGTCTCATAACTGGGAAGGCCCAGGTTCAAAACTGATCAATTAATGGTGGCTCAGTGGTAGAGCAGTACGGTCTCATAACTGGGAAGGCCTAGGTTCAAGCCGATTAATAAATGGTGGCTCAGTGGTAGAGCAGTGGTCTCATAACTGGTAAGGCCCAGGTTCAAAACTGATTAATTAATGGTGGCTCAGTGGTAGAGCAGTGGTCTTATAACTGGGAAGGCCTAGGTTCAAGCCGATTAATAAATGGTGGCTCAGTGGTAGAGCAGTGGTCTCATAACTGGTAAGGCCCAGGTTCAAAACTGATTAATTAATGGTGGCTCAGTGGTAGAGCAGTGGTCTCATAACTGGGAAGGCCCAGGTTCAAAACTGATTAATTAATGGTGACTTAGTGGTAGAGCAGTGGTCTCATAACTGGGAAGGCCCAGGTTCAAAACTGATTAATTAATGGTGGCTTAGTGGTAGAGCAGTGGTCTCATAACTGGGAAGGCCCAGGTTCAAAACTTATGTCAATGAGCACCTTGCTCTTGTGAACTGATTAATGGTGGCTTGGTGTCAGAGAAGTGGTCTCATAACTGGAAAGGCCCAGGTTCAAAACTCATGTCAAAGAGCACCTTGCTCGTGTGAACTAATTAATGGTGGCTTGGTAGTATAGCAGTGGTCTCGTAACTGGGAGGTCTTGGAATCAAAACCTAGTTCAATTTGCTTGTGTCCTTTGCTAGACGTTATTACGGCAATATCGCTTTTTCTTTAACATTTCAATAATCTTTGGCTTGTGAAATCAGGCTATAACATTTTAAAACTTCCCTGCAAAGATGTATAATATGGTTGATAATTTTTGTTATCCATAAATCTACTAGGAATCTCATTGTTTCATAAAACCATGTTTGATCCAAAAGATGTAGTTAATTGCATATATTTTTGTCTTATTTGTTCTGACTTTTCTTTTGCAGGTTCTGGCAAACAGCAAAGCATTCAACAGGATTTACATGTCCACCAGGCTGTACCTGAACACGGGAAGCGTAAGGGGTCAGACTCATCCAACGTCTCCCCAACCTCACCCATAATAACTCTCTAGAGGCCGACTCCCTCTACAGGACGTCCGTCAAGTCAGCCACCCTGCATCCCGTCTGGAACGAGACCTTTGATATGTCAGTACTTACTTTACTTTATTTCTTAAATACCTTTTTTTTTAATGTGCTTATGCCCCCTTTAGTTCCAACTTTTATTGTTTTATTTCTATTTTCTGTTCATTCTTGTGTTGGTCTTTTCGTTGTCGGTCAAACAGTTTTGAGCGTCAAGTAATGCCTGGCTGGAATGCTCCCCAGGGAGTGGAGATTGTGCACACAGTGTGTGCGGGCAAGTATTGAATCCAATGACCGGGGTAATAGTATATCTGGAAAGCCCTTAGAGACATGGTAGATGTATTAAGTGCTATATAAAAGCAGAATGGTTTCATCATAAAAAGCTCAATGGTTTGGCCGTGTCTTATGTTATATATTTACTGACATGATGACTGGTGCAATAATACATATCGCTGGTCTAAGTATATAATATGTATATATCTTTGGGATGATAAATTAACCTGATAACAACTTTTTGATTTTGTCTTCTCATATTTGCAGTGAGCTGAACAGAATAGACGGTGAGTTGATAATCACAATGTGGGACCTGGATGAGGAGACTAGTCTGTGGGATGCATGCAAGAGCCTGGAAGCAGATCACAAGCTGGCTGGCATCAAAAAGTGAGTTCAGCAAATCCCAAAGACAAGCTCTGGGCACCATTTCACAAAACTTGTCATCAGTGACAAATGACATTTGTTTGTTATAAGCTAGTGAAATCCTTGTTTCTGATTGGTTATCAACATATTTGACACTGATTTTGGTCATTTGTCATTGAAAAAGGGCCTGGGCTCCATTTCACAAAAACTTGTCATCAGTGACAAGTTACTGTTTTTTTTATAATCTTGTGAAATCCTTGCTTCTGATTAGTTTTCAGCAGATTTTTCACTGATTTTTGTCATTTGTCGTTGAAAAAAAGGCTTTGTGAAATGGGTCCCTGGTCATGCGATTACATTGTGAAAGAAACTATGTATCAAATAAGAATTGATGTGTACTGTGAGGTTTTGGAATAATCAACATGAACAGAAATCAACTCACTGTTGCTGATAATCACATGCACTTCACACAGATAAGGTACAGTTAAACCTGCTTTTGTGACCACCTGTCTACAAAGACCACACTTTTTGTTTCCCTTGGGCGGTCGCTGTAGACAGGTTAGACTGTTTATGGAACTACATACACGTGTGGCATGAAATTTTGGTAACAAAATTTGGCTAGAACTTAGAAGGTAAGGTAAAACGGTAAAATTCTGGAAATATTTTCCTTTTGTTAGTTGAGCACATAGCCACTGGCCAATCTTGATCTGTTAAAGTCCATCTTGTAGAACCAATGGCCTTTAAAAATACAGTAAAACCTGCTTTAGTGACCACCGGTATAGAAAGGCCACCTGTCTACAAAGACCACATTTTCCCTTGAAAATGGTTTCTCATTGAAACATGTACTAAAGGAACCTGTCTCCAAAGACCACTTTTTGTGTTTCCCTTGGGCGGTCGCTATAGACAGGTTTGACTGTTACAGCCTTTATTCTCCCTGTTTTTCCTCACCACTATAGCATCTTCCGGCACATGAAGCACGGCATCAACAAATGCACGGATGACTTCTTGGGTCAGGTCACCATACCCCTGGACAAGATCGAGGCTGCCACCATCACCGAGGACTGGTACCGGCTCCAGAGAGGTCACGCAAAGGTCATGAGCTCTCAGGTGACCGGCAAGCTGCACCTCAAGATGCACTACCTCAGGATGAAGGTGAGTGAGGTCAAAGGTCGTGAAATGGAGATCTGTGTGTGTGTGTGTGTGTGTTTTGATCGGTAGGAAATCCAGGAAAGTTTGTCACGACAGTTGCATCTTTATATGTTCTACTTCAGTTAGCGAAGCAACCTACTGTACTAACCCCAAAGCGCTTGCCTTCATACTAAGGCAATTAAATCACAACCTTTGAATATGAAAACCCATTCATTTTCCATCTTACAAAGCTAGTTTTTTTGCACATTACTTTGTAACTACAGTCTGAGAACCCTGCAGAGACGGATGAGAGGGCACTGTCCTACTACCACCAGCTGGTGACCGCTGCTCAGAAACATGATGCCGGAAAACATATTAAGGTGAGTGCTTAAGATGCATACTATACGATTAACAGAAAACTTTTTAACACGTACTTGATTGGTATTTACAAGATATACATCATCTATCAAAGACAATTTTCAATGTAAAAGTAAAGAGTCACATTCTTTAGGTGTTATAACATTTTGAAATGCAGTGATACTTCAAATTTTTGGATTTTAATTTTGTATTTCACTATCTGTCTTCTTCTGTTTGTCTGTCTCTCTCTCTCTCATTCTATCTCTTTCTCTGTCTGTCTGTCCGTCTGGCTCTATCTCTTTCTCTTTGTCTGTCTGGCTCTATCTCTTTCTCTCTATCTCTCTATCTCTCTATCTCTCTCTTTCTCTCTGTCTCTCTCTCTCTCTCTTTCTCTCTCTGTCTTTCTATCTCTCTCTCTCTGTCTGTATGTCTCTCATTCTATCTCTTTCTCTCTGTCTCTGTCTCTCTTTCTAACTCTTTCTCTCTGTCTCTCTGTCTCTCTCTCTCTCTCTACCCCTCTCTCTCTCTCTCTCTCTCTGTCTATCTCTCTCTTTCTCTCTCTCTTTCTATCTCTTTCTCTCTGTCTCTCTTACAGAATAAGGACACTCCATGGGATGGGAGACTGAGTACGCTGAGCCACCATGTTCTCAATCAGTTTGCAGTACAGAGTGGAATCAGCAAACTATCGCAAAACATCATGTAAGTTTCTCCCTCTCTCTCAATCAGTCTTTTATGGCTCAGAAGCTGATTGTTCACTTTATTTTGTTTCAAGATAATACATAGACTTAAATTAATTATTAACAAGGCCTGTATAGTCATTACAGAAACCTTTCATTGGTTGGGGCAATTATATCATGTAATTTAATCTTCTACCAGCCTACTAAATTTTAAGGTTGCTAGAAGCTTAAACTAAATGCCATATAGTCATCAAGATTAAAAGAAATAAAATACAGCGGCATAGATCTTTTCTTCTTCTTGGGCAGTTGGATACTATATTCATGACTTTTGTTTTATTTCAGTGAGATTTTTTTTCTTTTTTTCATGAAATTGGTGCATCTTCACCCCCCCCCCCCCCCATCTCCGCTACCCCATCAAAAGCTCAAAAAGAAAAAGGAGGAGAGATAAAGAGAGCAAAATGTCAAATGCAAGGTGAAAAGGAGATGATACTAAATGATTCCCTCTCACACCCTTCCCACACTTGAAAACCTTGTCCTTCTTTGTTTGACTTATCTTGTGAGACATGACAATAATGCCCTCTACAACTCATGCCTTGCCATTTTTTACAACTGCATGCTGCATTTGCAGAGATATTCTATAACCTTTCTTATATTAGGAAATCTGCTGTGTTATGTTTCACTTCTATTCAGATATCTGTCGGCCTTACTGGAGTTTCAGTTGGAGTTCACCCGCAAGTTGAAAGAAATGGAGATGGCGTCCCCGGACCCCATCATGCAGCCGTCGCCCGTCGAGAGTGGCTTTGACGAGACAGACTCTATCTCCTCGCCCTACACTCCGACTCCCAACAACAACAATCACAGCAATCGTAGTCCTCAAATTGGCAACCTGCCGGAGAAGATGGATCCGCCAAAGGATGATGAGGTCAAGCAGAGGTCACCGAGCAGGTCGAAGTTCCGACTGCAGCGGGATTCAGTGTTCGATCACGGCGACAACTTTGTCCCTCAGTTGATGGGTAGCGATAAACTTGGGGGAATGGTCAACGACCGATTGGTCAGGGAGGCCCTCTACAAGATCCACGCAGAGATGATGGCCGAATCTGCAGTGACCATCTACGGCAGCGACCCCAAAGGTGTGGCAACACTCTTTGAGAAGAGACCCGAGTGGCTCCGCTTTGAAGTAAGTGTTGATTCATAAAACATGTGTGATGTGCCGTGAGGTGAATAGTAATTCTTATCTAGCAAAGGTAGTATGATATGTATCAAAGTATTGTATTAAACAAAAACAAAAAGAAATATCTCATATGCTTTAAATCTGCATTAAAAATTATGTTTTTAAAAAATATTTATGGTATTCTAAGAAGGTGTATATTGTTCTAGTTGAGTTGACACTAGCTATAGTTTTGCTTTTATTTTAATCTTGGAAAATATACCACCTTAATGTATCCTTGCATCAGGATGATATTTACAGTTTGTTGTATCATATTTTAATGAAATAATTATTTGTTCAAGACAAGTTCTATAAGAATATGACATTGAATTGCAAAGGATTGTAACATTATTTTATCAAAGAAATGTAACTTAAAATTTGTTCTTCAGCTTTTATGTAAAGGTGAGTAAATCCGATTTTCTTCCTTTCCAACAACAATCATTTCAATTTAACCTGCAGTGCCTGGAACAATTTGGTAAATTGTTGAATCTATTAATTGTCTTTTTTACATTTTATTTGTATTTTGTTTGATATTGTAGCAGCATTTCCTTATGTTTTTGCTTGGCACGAAAAGTGCATTTGTTTTCCTTTGAATATATCTTGGTCTCCTCTTTCAATGATACACAAATTTTATGTGTACTGGTAGATTCTACAACATAATATGTCTAGATTCTTGAATTTTTTATACGCTATTGCCCTGTATGCATGTTGGTTATATGTTGTTTCTGTTTATGTTGATCTCTCCTGATTATTTGACTATGATCACATGGTCAAAGAAAGTGTTGAAAATCTTTCCTTGCTTGCTTGATGGATGTATTTTGAAAGATCACAAGTTATATATATTATCACTTTAGTAGTACAGTCATATTTTTCCTTGCTGTGTCTGCTTGAGTCTGCTGTTTGGTTATGAATTCTGTTACAAAAGAGAGGAGTTTAAAGATGAGCTTTAGTTCTGATAATGATAGAAAATAAATTCTCACAGAATCCAACAAAACTCACACTGATTACAAATAAATGACAGGTGCAAAACGATTTTGGCAGATACTGTATAGGATCAAGGTACCGGGTATGTATATAGGCCCGACACCATGTGCTTATAAACACAGGTCACTATGTGCAAATGAGAGTTTTGGATTTTATTGAAGATGAGTTTGTTTTTATTTTACTGGTTCAAAAAATCAATCTACTGCAGGATGCCATGTTCTCTCGACATATGATTCCAATACCAGAACTCAAGATTAGCTTTAAGTCTAACAGCTAGGGTCCATGGCATGTGCAGAGCTGCCAACTAGTACGGATTTCCCGTAATTGGTACGGAAATTAACGACCATTACGGAATGTTGTCTCAAATTACGGATTTTTTTTTTTTTTTTTTTTTTTTTTTTTTTAATTTTTTTTTTTTTTTTTTTTTTTTTTTTTTTTTTTTTTTTTTTAAATATGATTTATCTTAACGAGTGCTGTGAAGTATGGCGGCCTCCAACACTCGCTGAGAAAGACGGAAAAGTATCAAGTATTCTATTAATAGGAGCCATTTTTCATGGAAAACTGTTGTGATGACCTGAAACTCAATATTTAACAACTTTGTGTGAGTAAATTAGTCACCAAAAATTTCAGATAATCATGCGTCCGCGCAGTGTTGGCGTGCCGTTTTTTTTAGATTCATAGCGCAGCATAGGAAATTACTGATTTATACCTAAAATTACTGATTTTGAGCCTTGTGATTACTGATTTTCTGTTCTGGAGGTTGGCAGCTCTGCATGTGAGCCTTGGTATCCTGCAGATTTTGTTCCTTTATTATGGAAAGACAAGAAAGTCAAATAAAATGCATGCCTGGCATCATATTCTCATTCTTCATGAATTGCAAGCAAACGATGCACTTATGATGATGATGAAAATAAAAATTGTTAAAAAACAATTTTTGATTAGCATAATAATGATTACCATCTCCATATCAAACATTTCATAAGTACTCAGTTAATAGTTCAATGGTTGGTGTATACTGTTGTTTTTATTTCTTTGTTAAAGTTGCATGAGCATTTTGATCTCCCAACTCTTAGACCACTACTCAATCCCCTGAGCTATTCTTGTAAAGATACATTTTCTTTATGTCATGTCGAAAGGGATGAACTATGATGAATGTAGAATGTATGCATCGTTTATTTAGCACAGTTTGTTGTTGTTTGTTGTATGTAACTTAATAGATGAAAGACATGCATGCTGCAACCAAAGACATCATTAGGCCCATACAAAGGAACCACTCACCAAAATATATCTTGCTTTCTTTGTTTGGGATTCCATGCTGCTACATAAATTCTTCATTTAGTTATCAGTTTCAGAAATTGCTTCTGTATAGAGATATTGCAAGTTAATAGACCAATGTAGGCCAAAGTGACCTATGAGTACTAGTAGACTAGTCAACACGTAGATACAAACCTGTATGTTTTCAGAAGTTAACCTGAGATAATTAACTTTTGTGCAACCCTGATGTGAAATCTTTTTTTTTGTTGTCTAGTGGGCGAGGGGGGGGGGGGTATGTCTTCAAACAATGCATCAAAACTTTGGGGATGATTGATCACAATTGATAAATCCCAACTACATTTCTTAGCAACAGTCTCTGTTAAAGTTGCTCATGCGCGAGTATATAGAGGGCAGCACACGGACATACGCACAGCAGCATAATACCCGTTGGCTCAGTGTTATGCAGTGATCGCCAAGTTGCCTACTTCATGAATGACTATATAACCAACATATTTACATCTTTAATTCATGACAGGATGGAATAATAAATATTTAATTTTTATCCTGACATACAGACTGCTATTGTGGAAAACTCGATCAGTAGTTACATCTACGAGTGCTTGGCCAGTCTTCCAGATTGTGAATCATTCTTTCCTCCCAACAACCTCATTGGGCTTGACAATGCCAACAAGAACTGCAAGTAAGAATAATCAGTTATTTACTTTTTTTCTAATAAAAGGTAGTCAAGATACATGTGCTGCTAGTTTCATGTTCATTTTCTTTTTAATATTCAATACAAAAAAATTAATTGTATAGGTTTGTTACTTAGGAACTCATGGTTTTAAATGCTACCCTAGGAACATACTTTGGTAATTAAATTTAGTGGCTTTCTCAAAATTCATTGTTTACTGTTTCAAACATAAATTGTGAATACAAGATTTCAAGCCATAGAAATTAAAGCACAGTGTAATCGGCAAGTATGCAATTTTTTGTTTAACTTGTAATTTTTGTTATTTATTTATTTTTGTAGATTGCAGTTGCTGCAGAACCTTCTGTCGATGCGTATTTGGCGTGATCATAAGACCCCGGTCCATCGGCTGGTGATGAAACTCCTAGAGTCGGTGGTACGCAATGATACCAGGAAGCACATCCTCACTGACCTTGACTCGATTCCATTACCTGAAGGATCTCTGGTAAGTACATTCAAACCAGAAAATTTGCATTTTGTTGAATACCTAGAAATGATTAAATCACAACTGACGCATTGCTGAATTCCTGCAATCGACGAAAGCCTCCTGCCACGACACTAGCCATTGTGTACAGTTTGTGAAATTCCATCTTGTCAAAATTTGTGTTACATTTCATTTGATCTTTCTTAGTTGAAGTTCATATACATAGTATATAATAAGTTTACAAATATGCAAGCTAAACAATCAAAACAGATCTGGAGTTTCAAGAAAAGCTGAAGACTGAACCCATGTTACCCTTCTTCTTGTATCTGGGATCCATTTCACAAAGCCTTTTTTCAATAACAACTGACAAAATTCAGTGACAAATCTGCTGATAGTCAATCAGAAGCAAGGAATTCAATAGCTTATAATGAAAACTATCATTTGTCAATAATAATATTGGATATTTATAAAGCGCACATTTCCACCATGCATAGTGCTCAAGGCGCTCAAACTATTACCCCGGCTCTGTTAGGCGGTTGATTTTGTTTTGTGAAATGGGGTCCAGGTTTATCTGTATTTAGCATGGCCTTTTTAGCTTAGTTGATTTGTTTCTGAACTAGGATCACCAGGCCCAGGTTTTTATATTTGATATTGTTTTTAAGAATTTTTTGTTCATGCATTGACTCCGTCAGAAACCAGGAGAGCTAGTTGATCTATTAGCGAGATTCGCCGAGGTCTTGTCTCGATTCACCAGCTACTGTAAGAGCCAGAACGATTACAAGAACTTCTTCTCCAGGTAAGGCCTAGCTCAAGAGAAGATCTAGGGGCCGTTTTTCGAAACCGTCATAAGTTGTAAGTTCTTGGACAGCCCATTGAAACGTATGTTTTAGAATTAAACCATGTTTCTATGGGATGTCGACGACCCTAGACTTATGACGGTTTTTATCTTTATGTTTTAAGATATGGTTAATGTGAAATGCATTGCATTATCTAATTAAATTTTTCCTTGGCTTAAAAAAAAAGCAGTTTACTTTCTCATGTCTGAATGACATAAGGGGTAGAGTCATAGTGGAGTTAAGGAATGCCAGTGTTATTGAGTGGTTGCATTATTCAAAACATTTGAAAAATCTTTGGAAGACATTAAAAAGCTCTGAATCAAATTGATCATATTATATACATCCACCCAGTTGGAGTTTAAAGACTGGAACGCTTTGAGAAAGGCCATAAAGGTAATGAAACTTGCAACTCCACAGCATCAGAAAAATGGACAATAAACAACGATGATGATCGGATAACCACCCTACCTCATCAGAACAAGACATTCTTGCACAGATTTATGGCACAAATGTTCTTGTTTTCATTGTACTTTGCAGCCTGATAAGGATTTAATTATTTATGATTGTATTTACTTTTCAGATTCGATGTAGATTTCTTTACAACTGTCACCATAGAGATTGACCGGCAGGTGTCCAAGTATCTCCAGGACATCATCCTCAAGCGGCTGAACCAGTACCAGGCCCGGTATAGACGCTTCCCTCAGAACATTGCAGAAGCAAGCAAGGCAGGACTGGCCCTCTACATGTCCGTCAAGAATCTGGTTGCTATCCTCAAGAAGAATATTTCCAAAAAGTGAGTTTTAAAAAGAAACGTGATGATTACAAAATATAGTGTATCAAGACACTTAGCCTTGGACTATCACCCCTAGACAGCTACCCCATAGGACACCCGCCCCTCTTCCTCCCCCATGTCAATTATCAAGAATCTGCAACAAGAATTTTGCAGAAATTGAGTTTTAGAAAACATATGAAAATATGGTGTATCCGGTCATCTACCATCCTCCCTCCGCATTATTACTACTTGCTAGCAAATACCTCTTTTACCTATTCCCTGCTCCCCCTTATCTGTCAAGAATCTGCTTGCAATTCTCAGGAATGATGCTGCTGGCAATTGTGTTTGAGAATGTAATAAAGTATGAGAATATTTTACATTACAACCATTTCCTGACAAGTAAACCTTTTCCTCCATGGGGGTAATTAAAGAGTGTTTAGATAGAGTGGTTATTTTGGAGATACTTCACCATATCAAATGGGAATGAAGCCTAGCTCATGGGTCCTTTTCTATTGTGTTTTAACAGGGATAAACTGGGCCTAGAAGAGTGCTACGTCTGGTTCCAGGTCCCGCTCACCTACTGGTTGGTCACCTTTCAACATGAGACCTTCAGTCGGGTCCACAAGGCCCTGGAACTTGACACAGAGGTCAAGTTGGTCCATGAAGTGGTCAAGTATTCCAACTCGGCCGTCGATGTCCAGGCCTGCTTTGCGAAGGTATGTTCACATTTTTTGTCTTGTCATTCATTCAGTGATAGGAAGATTGCATTTTGAATTCAAAGTTTTTATTTCATAAATATCACAATCTTATATTCTTTAAGCTAGTGCACTTCTTGAGATTAAAGGAGGAGCTATCATATAAATGACAATCACGTAAAAACATAATACAAAGATGTAATACTACAGAAGAATGTTAGCAAATAAATGTATGATACAACAAAACACAGAATGTAGAATAACACTAGAATGCTAAAAGCAAATGTAATATAAAAGAACGTAAGATTTATCATAATCTTATATCTTTTTCCTTTTAATATTGAAAGGCAGTGAAGCAAGTGATTGGCTAATGAGAGTTCTTCATGAGACTCTGACGATTCGGCATATTTACAGCTGTTTAAATGTCTGATGAGACTACTCTTCACATTATGCATCTTTTCTTTTTCATTAATTGGGCTTCACAAGAGAATCAAAATCAGTGTTAATATAGTATATGATTGAAAAATGTGTACCGTTATTTGTGTAAAAGATCAATTCATCCTCTTTATTACTTGTAGGTTACTCAGGAATGGCGGAGCATTGGCTATGAAAACCCGAACAGCCGCTGTATGGCCATTACAAAGCTCACTGATGTAAGACTGACTGCATGCTTTTGATATTTATTTATAATCCATAATATTTGTATTTATTTATTTTTATTTATTTATTTATTTATTTTTTTTTTTATTTATTTATTTATTTATTTATTTATTTATTTATTTTTTTTTTTTTTGGGGGGGGGGGTCATATCTAGCACACAAGGTGCTCATGATCAATGCACTCAAATATTACCTCAGCTCTAGCTAGTCTACCGGTACCAATTTATCACCTGTGTGGAGAGTGGCAAATGTAAATTAAAATGTCTTGCTGTGGGACAGTACTTAGTGCCACACAAGACGTTAAATTCACAATCTTTGACAACACTGCATTTGTTAGAATCCATAATTAAGAAATCAAGATTCATCTGCATTTTCTAGTTCTTTATTGTAATCATTTAGGTGAAAGTGTACCCTGAAGCAGAATCAAATGTTAATAAAGAATTTCTTTAAAACAAAATGTGAAGGGATTGTACTACCGGTATCCATCAAATACCTCAAGTGAAATGATAATGTTTCTTTTAGCTCAGGGGAGCCTTTTTTATTGTCTATTTAAAATCGAGTTCTGGTCATGTGAGTAAATTGTGAAACGAAATGGGAGAAGACTTATTATGAAGTAAATAAGAATTGTGAGGTTTTGGATTCATTAAAAGTGAGAAGGAATAAAAATCACCCAATCTTGATGAAGGCCACATGTATACAAAAATGGGGATATATGAAACTACACACACACACACACAAGTGACATACCTAATTGTTTGGTCCAAACTTTTCAGGTATTCTTCGTCATTTTTCAAACGAGGGAGCATTGGAAAGACAGTCCCTTTTAGGAGAATTTCAACCATGGCATTCATTCAAACTGGTGTAAAAAAGAATAATAAACCTCACAGTTATTTCCCAACAGTTATTTCCCACCACTTACGAGAACTCAACCTCTGTTTTAATAATCATGATTGTTTCATTATTCTGACAGCTGATTTGTGAAGGGGCTAAGCTCTATGCTTGTAAGATCCACTGTATCCTGGAAACCAATGGATTCTATAAGACCAGCAAAGATGGGCAGTTTGATATCAAGGATAAGGTATGTTCACATATGGCTTCATTGATCGCTATCTATACAAGAGTACAAACTTTAGTCCAGATTTACACCCCAAAAGTTTGTTCACTGCTTTATGAAGTGCTAAATGTCAACCTCTGTTTCCTATTATAATTCTGAAATAAGTGTAATAATAATAGGTATGCATTTATGAATATAATTTGAGCCATCTTGAAATCAATTTCTCATGCTTATTTCACAAAATGAATGATCATCACTCTCAATGGTCAGGAATCTTAGTTTGATGACCTTGACGTAAAGCTTCAAACATATCGAAGATTCTGGTTTCACTGAAGTGTTTGTTTTTCGTTAATAAATTTTGAAATCTATTGCAGCTAATAGATTCTATTCCTCCTTCTCTCTCTCTCTCTCTCTCTCTCTCTCTCTCTCTCCTTCTCTCTCTCTCTCTCTCTCTCTCTCTCTCTCACTTACCCTGCCTCCTTCTCTCTTTCTCCTCATCTGATCACCCTCCCTCTCTCAAATGTACCCCATACCTCTCTCTCTCTCTCTCTTACTCACTTGCCTTCTCCGTTTCTCTTCTTTCTCACTTTCTCTTTCTTTCTCTCTATCTCTCTCTTGTCATGCCCCCTTTATCTCTCTCTCTCTCTCTCTCTCTTTTTCTCTCACAATTCTATCCCCTCTCTCTCTCTCCATGTTGCCCCACCAGCTGTGCATCACCCTGAACAACATTGAGCATGTCAGGGGCTATCTCGACAACCTGCCCACCCTGCTGGAGTGGGAGGCAAACTGCAACCAGCTGGCCGCCCACCACCAGACGGCCGCAGCGGGCAAGCTGACCCTCAGCACCCTCAAGCGCTTGACCCAGAGGGCGTGTCACGACATCCACTACATGTCCAGCCTCCTGGAGAGGAAGATCGCCTACAGGCTCAGCCAGGAGGTCAACAAACATCTCGACAAGTTTGTCAACCCACAGAAGGGTCACACCAGTGATGAGGTGAATTTTGGAATTGATTTGATGTGATTTGATTCAAATTGATTTATTGATTCCATATCACATGTGACGCTGTTACTACAAGTTATATATAAGCTTTATAGCCAGAAGGTCAACAAGCAATTTTAAACAAGTTTGTTTTGGCAGAGGGGTCAGACCAGCGTAAGGTGAAGCTTCGAATTGATTTGATATGACTTTACTTGATTTGATTTATTGATTTCCATATGAACATTGTGAGGCTGTGTATGCACCTATCATACTTAGCCTGACGGCTTTGTACAATTAATGCATACAGCCTCAACTGGAGTCCGGATAGATTGTATAATGAACTCATTCGCATGCATCAATCATTTTTATACTATTATCATTATCATTCATAGTGTATGGAAGAGCTCCTGGACTATATAGATGATAACCTAGGAACTCTTTACAAGCAGCTGCTTCCTCAGATCTTTCCTCGCCTAGTACAGGAACTCTGGAATGCTCTGCTGACCAGCATCAGGTCCAGGATCCAGGAAGGCAGACCACCGGGCTACTACAAGAGGCTGCAACAGGTACAGATTTAGGATTATATAGACCAAAACAAACCTCTCACGAACAATGCCCTCATAGTTCCTCTGTCACATATCTACAATGGTTTTCTTCCTCTTGAACTGTTGAGTTCTAGACATGGAATAATACCTGTTAGAAATTTTGACTAGCGAAAAACCAATTAGTGGGAACTTTTAAACGCGTCATCTTGTAGATTATGATGTAAAACCCAACATGATCATGCTTAACTGGGAGCTTAACCCTAACTCTAGGACACTGAAACATATAAACCCTTTGACACTGATGTAGCGTGCTCTCTCCTGTTTGTCAGAAGCTATAGGATTACCTTTAAATTGTTCAAATTTGTTGACGTAGGTATGGAAGGAAATTTATATTGTTTAAGAAATGTGTCTGTTTTAAGGTATTGATCACTGTTGCATTCTACTATGCAAATCAGTAACATAATAAAAGGTTGGGCTTGAACATTGAATCTGATTCTGAGACATTACCACTAGGACCACCATTTTCAGACAACTACCCCCCCCCCCCCATAATTAGCCCCAAGGAAACTACTCCTGGCACAATAACTCTTGAAATCTTTTCCTCAAGGATAACTACCCTTAGAACCCTTATACCTAGAACATTTACCCCTTTTGGGGGATAGAAATATGAAGTCTGTGTGCTATTTGGGGCTAGTCAGAGGGGTCTAGGGGGGTGGTTACAAAGACTAAGACCGACTTCAAGTTGGACATAGCTATGGCAGGCCGTTCATACCACTAGTTGCTCTCATCATTGGTCTCTCAAGTATGATCTTTAGATAATATTTTTTCCTACATTAATAACTATCAAAAAATGTAAATTCTGTAGATTTGTGACCACGTTTGGTACGTTCCTTCAGAAACCAATTTCAGTAAATGATAAGAGCAAATAGTGGCATGAATGGCCTGCCATAGTTAATTCCATCTTAAAGTCGATCTTAGTCTTTGAGAAACACTCCCCAGATGTTCAGGGATTGTTATAATGTAAAAACCCACATGATATCTTTACAGAGCTTGGACTCTCTGGAGGCCTACTTCCAGAGGCCGGGCATCGACCTGACCAGTTCCAAGACCCGGACGGACGAGTACCACGCCATCCTAGAGAAACTGGAGCCTAACACCAGGTCCACGTTCAGTCTGTTGGCCCTGTACTATCGGGACCTGGCCCTGGACATGGCCACACCTATGGCCTATCTGGGTCATGTCAGCATCAAGATGGCGTATCATGAGGTACCGGGTGACATGAGGTCACTCTCGGTCAAAGGTCAGTCAAGGACTAGTTGATTTAGAAATAGCTGTGGCAGTGGAATTTGATTGTTGGAATGGAGCTCCAAATAGAAGTTCCCTCCCGTAGAGATTGCACTTGGGAGACAACCATTTGAAGCTCGCATGATTTCACCTATGATGTATGCATATACATGTGCATGTCAGAACTATGCAAGGACCAAGTCCCACATTCTATATTTTGGCATGTCAACTCAACTTGATCCATTGTCAAGATAAAAAAGATAAAACATACCAAATACTTGGGATAAAATATCAAAAGATTTCTCCACACCTTGTGGCTATTTATATTGCATCTCTCTTCATTATTTGATGCCAGGAATTTGAAATGGAGAGTATGCGATCAAATCTTGGAAGTACCATAAAATTGACAAAGTTCCAGTCATTTTTGCCAATTCTCGATTGTAAGTGCCCTACTTTTTGATGTAAAGTCATATGTAGTGTATTTTCAGAAACACACAATTCTGTTATAATAGCATCCATATTCGAATTCATCCTTTGTGTAAATTTCTTTTCGTGCATGTGTCATTATCAAAGTGATGCAAAAATCTAAATCCAAGTTTCTTTTCTTGTTTTACTTTGCAGTGTGTAATGCAGTGGATCTCCCCGGGGTTAAGAGAAGTGGTAAGTGATCTTGATTGAGTTATTACCCATTCCAGATTGATATTCACAGGATAAAAGGGAAATGATAGTTACTGTATCTGAAATTTTTGTGTGAATGTGTGTGTAAATGATATCTGTTGGATAAAATAATGAATTAAGAAGTTGTTTGTATTATTAATGATGAAAATAATGAACATGATGATGATGAAAATAATAATATAATGATGACATTGATGAAAATGTTTTTCATTAATGTTGATGATGAGGAGGAGGAAGAGGATGGAGATGATGAAGATGATTAAGATGATAATGTTTCATAAGATGTTGGCAAATAATGGTAGTGGAAATATTAAAGCAAGTAATATTAGTGGTGATGATAATTATAATGATAATGACATGATTTTGTGGAAACTGTTACGAAGTTGCAACCTATCTGCTCACTTTTTAAAATATCTTCCCAAATGATACAATCACATATCATCTTGAATGCTAAATATTGGTATGTTTTCTTCTTCATAAAGGTTTGAGTGACCCAAAGATCATCGTGGAGATTTGTCCAGAGACAACCTTCAACAAAGTCTTAGCTTTCAAGACTGCGGTCAAATATAAAGAAGTGAACCCAGTTTTCAATGAAGTCTTTCAGTTGTGAGTATAACATAAGATCATGTGTTATTGAGTTTTTTGTGTATTTTTTTTGTAAATTACTTCATAGTATACCTCAAAAGTACACAATATCCACCTTCATGACCTAGTAGATGTTCTAAATTTTGTAGCGTTATTGAACACACAACTACTTTTGCGTGTGATGTATGGATGTAATATTGTGTAAGATATATGTGCTTTGTCAGTTTTTTCTTCAAATGGATAACTCTGTTTACCTAGTAATCCTTAATATTACTTTCAATTTTGTACTTCAATCTTTTTACTCACGTCTAGTCTTCCCCTTGCTTTTTGAATTGCTTTTTATTGTCAATTAAAATGATAAAAGTACTGAATAAGACTGTTGAATAGTGTATACAATTAATGAGATAACAGTGGCTTATGATGGATGTGTCGACTGGCGAAAATTGTAATTACCAAGGTACTTGAGCACAGAAAATAAAAAGAATTCCTCTTGAGAAATGATGCTTGAAGTGTTTACCATTCTTAGCAAATAACCATTGTATGTATACAATGTATCTTTTAGTCAAAGAGACAAGAGGCTTGTTACAGCATGTTTTTACTGACGGTGAATTGTAAAGAGTACCCTTTTCAGAAGTTGCAATGTGTCTAGTTTAAACACTGTTTTCTTACATATTGATTAACTTTAGCCATGAAAGTTGGTTGATTTAGGTCATTGAGAGCAAGAAGGGCATTAACTTGTACTTCTATATAGAGTGAACACCCTTCTGGTTCTCAGCAGACAGATAACTGAGTTATTGACACTCCTTGTAAATTGGATGTTTTGTTTGTTTATCATAACTCAAGAATGAATGGTGAACTGGTTGAATTAGGGCCTTTATTAAATACTTGTTAAATACTTTGTTAAATACTTTGTTAAATACTTTTATACCTTTTATACACATTCTCAAGAAATATAAATAGGGACAAATCAATTTTTCACATCCTTAAAATTTTACAATACTTGGTAAGGGTATGAATAATCTAGGTACCTTTGTCCTAGATCCTTTTAAAAAATCCTTGATTTAGCTCATGTTGCAATGATAATTATAAACCTTTAGGTTGGTCAGGAACCCCATGACTTTTACAAGCCCATCGCCTGTCTCATTATCAAGATATTTATGATTGAAAATCGAAGTCAAATTCAGCGTTTGCCAGTCTATTGGGGAAACAAGTATGGTAAAATCGGACACTCAAAGGTTTTTACTTTTTTGAGGCACTTCTTGATCATTTTAAAGCGCAATATTTTTAGGGCTTCAATATAACACCATATCACAGACACTGATAACACGTAGGGCTGTGCATCTCAGATTTAACATTGTTAAACTATCCCCATAATGGTTTTCATTGTTCTTCTCTACAGCGGTGCGCTGCCTGAAGAGGCGTTTGAGCTGGACACGGTGATCCTTTCGGTGACGGTGGTCGATCACAACACCGTGGTCTGCGACAGCTTCCTCGGTGAGGCCTTCATCCCGCTTCATCAGGCAAGGCCGGTGACGGAGAAGCAGACCGTAGACCACTGCCCTGCTGTCATGCTGGCCCTTAAGAGGCCTAGGAGACACAGGGGTCATGTAGAGGTGAGAGGTCATTCAAAGTTCTTCTTTTTTTTAAAGGGGGATAGGGGCTAAAATTAGCAAAATATTGGATTAACATTTATCTCTAGGTGTAAGATAAATGAACAAATAAATATTACTGCCCTGCTGTCATGTTGACCCTCGAATGGCGATAGGGACCCAGGGGTCATGTAGAGGTAAGAGGTCATTTGTTGAGTTCAGAAGGTGGTGAATTATTATAAATTTCCAAATGATCAAATGAATATACTGTTAAAACACTGCCCTGCTTTCATTAAGGCCCTCATCATGTAGAGGTGAAAAGTCTAGCTTGATACTTCTTCAGATGCTGTCTGGAGTTCTGCTTGGTTTGGGGGCAGCTCACAGGCTACCAAATATTTGAGTGAATTGAGGCATCGATAATGAAATTGAAAGATTAAGTCAAGAAATGAATGAGTGAGTGAGTGAATGTATGTGTGAATGAGTGAATGCATGAAGGACATAGTGGTTGACTGAACAGAGAAATGAAAGGATTGCTTAATGGAGGAACACATTGATTATATTACCTGAGTAGTTGTCCTCAGGGAAGCCGTCTGAGCAGGTAGATTTCCCTGGATTATTTTTATAGGTGTAGCTGTTCTTGGGGTTATTTTTCATGGGTTTTATTCTAAGGGGCTCTAATCCAAGTATAGTTATTCCAAGAGGTACATTGTAGTTGTAAGGACCTCATTTTTTGTTAATTTTTTTATTCAAGGGGGAACTTATAGAAGGTGGTAGTCAGGGGTAATAGTTGTGCTGTTCTAGAAGTTGGATCCCTAGTAGGTCTGGGTGACATGCTCCTCGCCGGCTGAGAGACCATCAAAATAACCTGGGGCCCGTTGCACAAAACTTACCATGGATGGTAATTTTGCCATCAATGTAACTACCATGGAAACCTTGATTTTGATTGGCTGTTAAGCCCTGTTACCATGGTAGTTTTATGCAAGGGGCCCGGGTCTTTTCTAGGGTTGACTTTACTCATCTTTCGTTTGTGTTTTTTCTGTACCAGATCCTGAGGAGCAGGAGCAAGTGGGACAAGAGCGCCAAACAGTTCATCACCAAGCGAACCTGGGCCATCCAACAGCAGAGACAAAGAACAGACAAGAAGATTGTCTCTCGACATAACCACAATGCATTCTTCCCAGAATGAGGTCTCCTGGATGATCTTGGAAGGCCACTTGGTTGATCTCTGTAACCAAGGCATCATTCCTGAAGCATCTACCAATCAAGGAAGGCTTGCTCTGCTACCCTACCATAATGCTTTCTGCCTCTGATCAAGGAACGATCATACAAAGCAGCCATTTTGTTTCTGAAAAGTATCTTTGAAGAAAGACATACTTTGGTACCATAGAAGTGTTGTAGTCAAGTAGATATATTACTAGACTATTGATTGACTGGTTCATGGTCCAAATCCCAGCTGCAGCAGTAAGACATTAGTCTACAATTGCCACTCTCCACCCAGGTTTAGTAGATGGATAGCTGGTAGGAAGGTATTCCTTGAATGCTTTCAGTGTCCCGGGATAGCCCAGCTGAAGCCAGCACATTAGTAGTACTTTTTCAAGCGCCTTGCATGAGCATCCCCTGGGATGGATTTGTGCGTAATAAAATATGTAGCTACTTAATGTTCACCACACACATGTAAAACCTATGAGGATTTGTTGTTCGCCACACACACACACACACACACACACACACACACCATCTTCAAGTTCTAAAATCGAGCCATTGGATGTTGAAGGGTCCTTGTGTAGGGCAGTATCCGCCATGATCTAACTTTCCTATCTGATATTTACACAAAAATTCACTGAAAATCATGGATAGCTTATCGAATGATCTTGCATATATATATATATATCATTTTATACAAGGAAAATACTATCACTCCAATTTGCCTTCTGCAACCAGGGCCCCATCTTATGAATCAATTGCAAGTTCTACAATCAATTGCAGTTTGCAATCTCCTATCTCTTATGTACATACCGTAGTTGCAATTGATATCAATTGCAAATGAGTTGCGATTGATATCAACTCTTTATAACTGTACATGGGGTTCTGAGACAAGTTACGAATGTATAATTCTTTAATTTATAGCTTTTTAAACAAATGTCTGTGTAACATAACTGTTGAATTAAGAGCCAGTACTGAACATTGCAATGGTTAAAGTTTTATTTTCGTACTCAAAACTTTTATTCTTACTAGCAGGTCTGGTTTGTTATATTTTACCTTATTTTTAAGAAAAAGTATTCATCAACATGGAAAATTACCCCTATTCACAAGATATGAACGTGTTCTTTGTAATGCATGCAATCTATTATTTATTTGTAAAAATTTGTATCAGTGCTTCATTGAATATGATATGGTACACTGGTATCTTTGAGAAAAAAATGTGAATGGGGGTTACTTTTTATGGGGATTTTTATGTTATGTCTTTCCAATTCTATTTTTTTGTACCGCTATGTATCATTTCACACGAATAAATTTATCATGATAATAATAATAATAGCTCACATTTATAATGCATCTAATACTTTGTTTCTAATCATCATTGAAGTAAGAGCGGGGTGCAGCATTATATTATTTAGATTAATGTCATATCTTCTGCCTTAAGAAGCAAGCTGATCTAGAACTCAACAACACAGGTACCCGTTTTGTAGATTTTGAACAAGTTTTTGATGGAAAGTTTGAATTTATTTTTACGGGAATATCTAAATGACAATCTAAATAGATCAGTTCAGGTGGTTTTTTGCCAATGTTGAACGTGTAAGTAAAATTTTGTAGTAAAATGATAATATAGAGATTTCTTACATATTCCCTATACATACTATAAATACTATACATATAAATTTGCTATGCAATTTATTTTATAATGTTGATAGTTGTAATATATGCTTAAACAAAATTAAGATTTTCTTTTTAAAAAAATGTTAAGCCATCTATTCCTTCATAGGATTGAGGTTTCTTTAAAAAAAAAAATGAATTATTCCATCAAATTCGTTTTCAACCCTATTTTAAATTTTAATCTGGAATGCTGGTAAGACATAAGTCTGCCTTTACCACTCCTCACCCAGGTGTAAGTGGATACCTGATGTCCTTTTGATGTAAATTTAGTTTTAATAGAAGCAGAACAAAATGAGAGAAACAGGTCAGTGAAAGTTTGAGCAAAAACCAATTAAATGTAAGAAAGCTATGAATTTTTAAGGTTTATTCAATCAAACACCAATTGGCAATTCTGTGATGTATCTTGCACAATCCCATCCCATTTGCCCTGTATTAAAAAGCGTTAACCCTAATCAGGCCGGGGGCGGTACGGTAATACATTGTGGATTATCTGAGTAGTTATTTGCAACTGGCAGAGGGCATTAATGAATAATATTTATTGTATAAGCAGTGTTGATATATTTGTAATACCTATATATTCTAATGCAATATGCTTGGGATAATCTGTATAAATATATTTTTCTACATCATATTGAATATATTACAAATAAAAACATATAGTAGTGTGATATCAATTTGATAAATCGTTAAATAGAATGGAATCAAAGCAGTTAAATAATGGAATCAAAGCAGTTAAATAATGGAGTTAAAGACTGAGATTATTAAAAGCTTTGGGGGACATAAACTAAATTCAAAATGTTAATGAATACCAGAATAATAAATATCTAGATACCTATGACCATTTTTTAATGCTTCTCTAAACATTTCATGCGGAAAACAGAGGCTATTTGTTTATTTGTTTGCTATTCAATCTTGTATAAAAAGATAATAATTTTATATCATGTAAAATATTAAAGCATATATTTCTGTAATGTAAGTTATTTTACAAATATGCAATATTAGTACGACTACTACATTTAAATCATGTAAAGTGATTTGTTTGTGGCTTTCAGTGAACTTTTAGAAGTCAGAAGAGAATGTATTTCATGATGTATGTGTATTGAACTTGCCATGTTTGTATCTAGGGGTATAGTCTACAATTTATTAGAAAATACAGAGTTACACAATTTAACTCATTTGTAATATTCAATGAATTTTTATTGGAAGTAGATGTATTTTTTGCCTCTTTTGTATTAATGCACCATTCTGAGTAGTCTTGCATATCTCATTTGCAATAAATGCAAGGAAGTGTCTTGAAATTGTGTGTGTAATGTCTTGTTTATCATAGTATTCATTCTGTAAAGTATAGTATGTTATGGATTTGATTCTTTGTTGCCATCCTTATATTTAATTATCAGATTTGATCCAAGAGAAGAGAAATGCAGCCTAACTAGTAATGAGGTCAGGCGGACCGAAAAATCACAAAAACTGGAGATATATATTCTCAAAAGACTTTTCGAAACAATGATTTGGGGCAATGCTCCCCCCCCCCCCTAACGCAAATTGGGGCCTCCTTACTTATAATAGTATAATTTGGATCACAGTACGTTTAAGTTTTTGCCCCTCTGAGGCCAAGTCCTGGGTACGTCTCTGTGGAGTGGTGTATGGAAATCACATTTCAGGCCTGAAACTGTTAAATTGTGGCCCCCCCCCCCCACGAAAATTTATTTGTCATTTTTACCATGCAATAATATGTTATCTCAATACCTTCACTGAATAACGAACACACTAGAATGATTGGGTGATAGTGATGGTAATGAAGAGGGTGGTGATTTCAATGAGAAATAATAATGGTAAAGTGGAAAATGAAGACTGTTGGTGCTATATGATGGTGGCAATAGTGATGACGATGATGATGATGGTGGTGGTGGTGGTGATGTTAATGATGATTGCTGTGGTGATGATAACAATGATGGTGATGATGATGATAATGACGGTAATGATTATAATGATGGTAATCATGATGATAATAACGATAGTGATGCATGACAGTGATAATTATGACGATTGTGATCTTCATTATCATACGATGAAGATGCTGCTGCTGATAATATGATGATGAAGATGATATAGGTATTAATGACAGTTATTTTCATAATTGTTATGACACACCGTGTGATGAGGAGTAGGAGTTTAAACTTTTACACGATATGAGCCTGACAAATTTATCATATGTTTTTACCCTCTGAGATTAGAACCACCAAAAGATATGGTAGTTGTGTTGAATAGCATCATTGCTCCACTCATCTTTTTCTACTACCGGTTTAAAATCAATTGATTTAACAAAGAAATGATAATTCCGTATCAAACTTCATAATTTCTACTTTCATAATTTAGTTGCATTTAATGACATGAATTTGATTCATATATGCGCAATATTATTATCTACACTTTTCTAAAAATTCCTTGCCTCTCAAAACATAGGACAAATATCGAAAGGCTTCTGAAAGGGTTTAGAATAGACTCTTGTGTCACTTCCATGCGTCATAAAAATAGTACAAAATATTACTCAAATTCTTACATATTTACAAATATGTTTGCAGTTTTCACCTAAATGTTTTTTCGTTTTTTTTCTCTTTTACCGAAATTAATTAACTTAATTATTCTTTGGTATCGTAATTATTCTACTAAAGTACTGAGGTGGCTCTTATTCCAAGTACAATATGATTTCCTCTTAGTCGGAAAGGTAGGAATTGGTTGATGACGTCACGTGTCCATGACGACTGGTAGGGGGCGTGGTTGATTTAAGTGGGGGCGGCTGGAATGCTTGTACGTTGTTCGGCAAAATCTGCAAGAAGAAAAAAAGTAAAGTGATGAAAATAAGCAAAGGGGCGTAGGGATGCCACCCCCCCCCCCTCAAAATCGAAATTATTTTCCACTTTTTTATGACTGTCGGCAACCCCCATCCCCACGTTATCGAAGTGATGAATCATGCTTTAAGTTGTTGGAAAACCTTCGGATAACTTATGATAGATTTGGTCCAGCGCGGACTCCCCCCCCCCCCCCAAACCCATTAAAATGTCCAGTAACGCCCCTGTTTGGGTGTACAAGTATATAGTTTGGGTCAATACCGCGAGGAAAGAGGGTAATAGGGAAGGTCTTCATAGACACCAAGCCATACAAACATATTAGCACATTTAAAACACACTTCATATTCTTTTTACAGAGATAAAATCTGATTCTTAACATCATAACATTTGTAAACACTTGTTGGTAAATGAGAAGAAATCAGAGGGCACAAATGGTTCGCTTGCTTAACGATAATTGCAAAGGGTTGGAACCTTTTATTCTTGTTAATTTTTTCCTTTGATGTAGGTAAATTTTTCCTCCACCCACCACCCCCGCCCCCCCCCCCACACACACACACACACACAATGCTCTAGCGATGCAATTGGTGAATGTGATGTGCGATGCCACATGGGACGAAGAACATTAAATAAATCCGTACATTTCTGATTTTGAAAATTGAAACTCAATAACAAGGGTTAAAGATACTATGTCCCTCTTGCAGCGAACATCAAATTCTGTAGAACTTTGCAGGAATTATGAATATGTCATATATGTCTTATTTGTGAAACTTAAACGTTAGCAGTGTCCTAATAATCAAATTATGCAAGGAAACCGGTTTACTTGCTAGACTTCACTGTCAGACACTATTGAGTGACTGACTGGCTTTTATTCTTCGTTGGTAATAACATATATATACATAAAATGAGCTGTAAAGGGTACATGAGCATTTGTCTACATCAATAACCCACTTCTTGTAATGGCCAACATTAAACTGATTGAATCTTTGCGCAGCATAAAACGTACGACCATTCGGTACAATGGTCTGAAAATCAGACTATTACTTACTGGCTCTATAGCTCTTAAGTTGAGTCGACAACGAATAGTCGCTATTTTCCCACTTAAAGACATTTTCAAGCCCCCCCCCCCTTCTTTTTTTTAGGGAAGTTCTAAATTAGTATTATCTTTTAAATGCCTTTCTTTTAAATGCCTTTGGAATTTAACCTTTTCATTTTTTGGGCGTGCAAATGGGACATAGAAAACGCAGAACAAGCAGATTTTGAAAGGAAAGTGGCAAATTGATTATACAAAATAACAAATTACTAGGAGAAATATGACGGTACGGGAGAATAATCGAACAAAATCGTGGGAGCAAGGAATAGAGGGGAAGTACAAAAATACAGAGATATGATAAAAGTAGTTGACGAAAACGTATAAATGTAGGAGTTAAGAGGACAAGTAGCTAGACATGGAATGAAAAATAGAGAAAGGTGATTATCTGAAAGCATGGGAAACTGCTGCATAAACGAATTAGTTACGATCGAGGATTTACTTTTAAATTAATACTTTAGCTATCTTTAATATTTGATACATTTCGGTCTATAAATAGATATGGATAGTCGGCTCTGAGGATATGTGGGATGTAAGACGTCACAATGGACCCATTCAAGAGAACCTTCACGTACGTGCGTACAACCTCTCAACATATCGGGTATTGAGAGAGAAAACATGACGCATTTGTATCTGAATTAATTGAAAAAACAACGATTTCGGAGCAATAAATAACAATATAGTCTCTAGCTGTGGCGTATACAGTTCCAAAATTTACATGATTTTGATCATGATTAGGAATATGATGAGAGTGATGTAGATTTTGATAATGATGATAATGACGTTAATGATTGTGGATGTGGTGATGGTGATGATGGTGCTTGTGGTGTTGGTGGTGATGATGAGAAATATGATGATGATAATGATAATGATGATGATGATAGTGCTACATAATGATGATGATTATGATGATGATGATGATGATGATGAAAATGAAGATGATGATGATGTAGATGCTAATGCTGGTGGTGATGAAGATCATGATGATGCTGATGATGATTAATTTAAAAAAAAATGATAATATGAATTATTGTAAGAGACAGTCTCTTCCTCTCCCTCTCTAACTCTCTCTCTCTCTCTCTCTCTCCCTCTCTCTCTCTCTCTCTCCTTCTTTCATGTGTGATGGCTAGAAGAAGTGGATTACAATAATTTACAATATGATTTATGTTTATGATAAAGGTTCAGTAATACCTTAACAGGCTTGCTTAAATGAAGGATTTTTATGCAAAATTAAATCCACTACGATCGTGCGTATATATCTCCTTCCTTCTTTTCAATTAAATACATATCTTCGGGACAAATTTTTGAAAACGGCATAAAGGGATACAGAATACGTATTGAAATACGCCGCATGATAAAAACAAAAACTTAGCGCTTGAAAGCGCCGTTTCCATATTCACCATGGAAACTATAACTCCTAACAGTGATTGCCGTTGCCATTAGTAGCTATGATGATTAAAATGTGGGAGAAAACAAAGAGAGAGAGAGAGAGAGGGGGGGGGGATATTACATAAAGAGGAGAGATGGAAAACGCTCGTATTTTTGTGTAGATAATTATAGAATATAGCTTTAGAATGAACGCTTAAAGGTTTGCACTCCTTTTAAGCTCTAAATAATAAAGCCAAATCTCACCAGAGGCATGACATAACTTACATTATTCCTGTCTTCCCTGATCTCACTAAATTGCTTATAATGGTCTTTGTCGAAAAGATAACGAAGCTCAGAACTAATCTTGATCGTGTAAACGAACACGACTCTCCTGAAAAAAATACTAGAAATCCGTCAAATTGAGGCCATCTTCTAGGGGAGGATAGGCAAGTGTATGTGGAAGAGAGAGAGAGAGAGAGAGAGAGAGAGAGAGAGAGAGAGAGAGGGGGGGGGAGAGGGGGGGGGGGGAGGAGGGCCTGGGGATGACAAAGATAGGGGCAGATAAAAGGAAAGTCAGGGAGGAAATAATAGTGGTGATGGTAGTGATGATGATAATGATGATGATGATGATGATGATGATGATGATGCTTATGATGTTGATGATGATGATGTTAATGATGACAACAATGGTGATTACAATGATGACGATGACCATAAAAATGATTATTATCAATATGATGATAATGCTGATGATGATGACAATTATGATATATGAGCTATGTGCTCAAAGGACACGCAGTACTCACCTGTACATTGGTGCCACTGTCAACATCAGGGAGCACCAGCGGAGAGCAGGGTCGTTTGGTCTGGTCGGCTCCCGGTTCACTGGAGCAGCTCTGGCTCCTGGCTGCAGTAGCCAGATGAAACCGGGCCCTTGCGATCTCCTCCGTATCTCGGCCAGGCTCCATGTCGCTTAGCCTCTGGAGCTGCCGGGGTTTCAGAGGAGAGCTGAGAAGCCCTTCCTCACAGCTCTCAGCTCGACGGGTCCGTACTCCCAGGAAGACGGGCGCAGAGTGAGAGCTGTCGTCGCTGCTTGCTCCATCGTCAGACTAAGTAAACAACAAAATAATAAAAGAAAGATTTGAATCTACATTTCAATTATTTTGCATATATTATATGACTTTACAAACATTAAATCTTCCTAATTCAAAGTACATCCTAAATACAAAAAAGTAATATTCCCAGGAAAATGGAATCATCCCGAACCCCCAAAACAACGAGGTGGCTTAAATACTTTTGAAGCAAGTAAGCCTACATGTAAGTTCATACTCTTTTCACTCATCCTTATATCTTATTTTTTCCTGAGATATATCTCAGCTACACTTATCTTAAAATGTCAGTAGCCCGGCGTATGAGGTAAAAATGTGGACCCCGACAAAGAAAGAAACACCTTTGCTCAAATCGTTCAGTCAATTATCATAAATCTCGGTTTATATCCAGTAGCTTTCCCATGGGTTGCAGCTAGTTGCAGCTCGGTTGCAAGTGCCGACAAATTGAACAGAATATTAAGCCCATAATATTAGCAGACATAATAATAACTGTGGGGCCATGAAATATCTATCCGGAACGTGATTTCATGACCTTCTCCTTCGCAACACATATCGCATCGTATAACAAAATTATAAAAAAAACTTCTTATTCATTTATTAATTTTCCCCATTTCTTTATTCAATTTCTTCTGTCATTCTTTGAAAGAAAATGTCTTGAAGCGCAAATGTTTTCAAAGTTGGGGGTAAAAACACTGTTACGGTCATCTTTCAGAGTGTTAGTGTCTCTTCCACGAAGCACCGTAATAAATAAACCGTTTCCATTCGCGCCAATTTCACCTCTTATCGCCATTAACTATTATGACCATTGTTAAAACATCTAAGAGACATATTTCCTCCTTGGTGCTTGTACAGGAGAACAACCAGAACATTCACGTGGCAAATGACCAGCTTCCGATGACAAGAACTTATAAATCCGTAGATATTTTAAAGGGGTATATCAAACTTCGTACCCTCACAGTAAGATTAGATTTCTTAACTCTCATAACTCTAAATATTATTCCATACAAATAATTTCGTATCTGCATATGACTGATACTTTAGTCACTGTGTTTCTAAATTATTTTACTTATATATTTACGTTTACCTCTGTACACTGTCCTCGTCATTTTCTCTTACATAAAATCCTTCGTGGCTTCATACTTTATTGTTGACTATATATAATTACTTAACCAACTTAGATTTAGTCGTACTCAAGCTTTAACGCTTATCATTACAATCTTTGCTTTTAAATAAGCTCCTCATTTCGAAATGTTACACAAAAATAGTCTTACCTTCAATCTGTTCATACTGTCAAATAAATGAACTATTGCTATTCCTATACTGTTGTTACCAGATGTAATATACACAATTTTGCTGTATTGTTTCAATTAAACTATCATATGTACAAAAGAATTGCAATTTTACTACCATAACGCTACCATGCATAATGTTTACGTGTAATTTTACTTTGTCACTGATGTATACTTTGTAAAAGAAACTACAATTCGGATCTCGGGCCGCGAATGTTTTGTAATGAAATAGGCCATTTTAAATAAACAAATAAATAAATTAACTTCAATTCACTTTTGTAAAAAATAAAAGGGGCAAATTTCCTTAAAATTCTTAGAGTGACCCCCCCCCCCCCCATCCTAAAAAGATATGAATAGAACGAAAGAAAAACAAGGTAATAATTTTGTTCACTGTGTGTTGATGAAACCAAAGATTCTCTGAAAAGAAAATAATTAATAGTAAAGAAGTAAATGGGGGCGGACCCCCCCCCCCCCGTGACCTCTTGGGTCCGCGTGTGCTTACCTGAAAAGGATCGTCCAATTTGGGGCTGTCACTGGGTGACCAAAAGGTGAGATACTCGAGCTCATCAGATGTTGATGGGCGTGCAGGCATTGGTCCAGGGTTTAACTGTAAGAACTTTTCTCCGATCTGATTGGGTGCCGGGATGCTGACGCCACAAACTTTCCCTTGCTCGGTGATGTTGCCGGTGCGATGAGTCGTCTTCGGCATTCGAGGAGATGTCGCCGAAAACAGAGCTAGGGGTGACGAGTATTTCTCGAAACACTTCGGGACTCCAGTCGGCTTTCGAGCATTGTCGTCCCTCCTCTTTGGAGGTCCTGGTCCCGCGTTCAACTTTGGAGGGAGAGGTTGACAAGACTCCGACAACAGATTGCGTGGTGTGCCTTTGGGAGTGGGGCCGAATTCAGGAGAAACTTTGAAGAATCTCCAGCTCTGAGCCCTTTGGCGATTGCGACAAGTAGTGCAGTTGTACATATCACATGGATACTCCCTCTCTGCTGCTTCTTCAGCCTCAAATTCGCCGCCAGTTACAAATGCAGTGCCATCGTCGTAGCTTAACGCTTGCTGGAACCTTTCAAAGTCCATGATAGGCTCTCGTTGACTGGCAAAGAGATCGAAGGCATTCTTGAGCGAGGCGGTCGGGTGGTTGGGCCTGGATCTTAGGTTGCAGGCATCGAGAGAAAGTTTGGCCACTGCGAGACCTGATCGTGCGATACTCTGGGCCGCTTCGGCTGCAGACATCGCCTGACCCCAAGCCTGTTCGGCAAGGTTTCGGGCTGTCTCGGCTCTGTCGATGGCAGTTCGGGCCTCGGCCTTCGCGCGTTCGGCATGTTGGGCAATCGTCATGGCATGTTCAAACGACTGGCAGAAGTCGTCGAGGGATGTTGACGACGACGAAGAAGGACTATGACCTCCTGTGGCCTGTGGTCGTCGGTCAGTTGTAGGAGATGTCGAAGTCGATGGCGATTGGTTCGAGAGGTGTTCGTTTACTTGAGGAGTTTCTTCTTGTTGTTCGTATGGTGGATCGACGACTACAAAGCCATCGTTTGAAGTTGCTCCGTTGCCTGACCTACACGTCGGGATAGGAGAAATAACAAACAGAATACTATTGGTTTGCTTTCGCAGCGCTGTAAAGTGGGGACGTAGCTAACCGCCCCCCTCCCCCCATAGGCTTGAAGTTTTCAATGGCATATCGATCAGTATCTGTTGTCAGTAAATTGACTTACTTTTTATTTGATATGGGATGGATTTCGGATAAATAAATCCCTGGCCGTCAGATTTTGGTCTAACAAGAACACCCCAACGCTTTTTAATTTTTTGTTTGTTTTTCCAATGAACTTTTATTATTATATAGCGTGGTCATGTATGTGTATCTTTCGAATGTTTACCTCGTTTATGCTGTCCAGAAGTTATTATCTGAAATAGGCAGTACAGGTTCTAGAGTGTGTTTTTGCGTGTTTTGTTTTTAGGAAAAGTTTTTAAGAAAACGGGAAAATTCCGTAACCCTTTCCTGGACGAAGGGCAAAAATTGGTTTCTCAAGCCCATTCCTAATTTTCCTTGATTATTATCAAAATTTAAGTGAGGTACACGTAGAAAATGACAACAAACCCCTAAGCCCCTGCATTTTTCTCCATTGAAAGGTTTACAATGCTTTACAATTTTCCACCCAAGTTAAGTCTTTCGTTTAAATCATTCATAATTATTTAACAATATGTAATGTTCATATTATAATGCTGTAATTTCGGCCGAAAGGTGATCGTATAGTGTGCGGTGAGCTAAATCATAAATTAATGGTTCTACATTAAACCTTGTTACTTACATGCTTTGTTCTATGCTTCTCCTACTTAATTGGTGCTTCAAAATCCACAATTCCAGAAATTCACGATTAAAATTCTGAGCTAAGAGCATTGATTCGAAGGGCTCATGTTCATTGGAATATGCAGGATTTATTGAATTTTGCAGGGTGTTTCGTGCTTCATTACCTTGTTTTCTCAAGTTGCGTGTATTGTATTCATGCTTGGTGGTAAAAACACGTGTCTAAAAGTGTGTTGTCCCCCAATTTTGTAAACAAACCGATTGAATGCGCGCGGATACGCGCGTACCTCTTATGCGCTTAACCATTATGATGTCACAGAAATGACGCGTAGCGTCTCAGTATGCGCGACTGGACTTCCGTTTAGTACGTCACAATAGCGTCTGTGGAAATGACGTCATAAATATAATAATTTTTACTGATTACATGCACATTGGGTGAACTGTATTTCACGCGTTCAATTGATTTAAATTAAATTTGTAAAAGTGATCTCGAAGAAGTTTTGAATACTATATATTTTTATGATTTCCTATGCCTAACGGGGGCCTACCCGTTATCCCCGTTATTACATTATTATAATTTTAAAACCATTGACTTTGATCGGAGTGAATAAAAGGAAGTATTCGATCGCAGTGTAAACCATATGGCTAGAGTTTCCTATCCAAGGGAATGGGTACTTCTGGGTCGTCGCAATCATGCATTTGTTGCCAAATATATTTATTTTGATTATTATATTCAACAATGCGCATTTTGACACACACAAACACTCACAGTGTATTATATCCTGCCATCCATTTCCCTTTTCATTTCCTTCTTTCTATTATATGAGATCTACAAGGGCCGGCTGCAAGCACTTCAGAGTCAGCTAATGCTTTAGCCTTCTGTACTCTCGTTTGTATCGTATAAATGATATGATTATGAAATACCTTGTCACATGTCTATGTCATGTATGTAGCGGTTTTATGAATGTCATCATATCAAATGAATATCCATGTTTATTTAATTATTTTCATTTTCTCATTTTGCTTTAGAATTCTCTATATTTCTTGTTATAGCATCACGGGTTGTTTGGCATGCTAACATTTTTATCTCCAAATAGACCGTTTTTCTGAGATATGTTTTCTTGGCAAATGCTACTATATCCATGCTTCCACTTCTTCTCTTAATTTGTTTGTTCGTTTTGTTTTGTGTTGTTTATTTCCGCTTTGGTTAGATGAAAAGGGAAACTTTGCACACAAACCCGGAAGTAAATGATTACTTCCGCCATGTTGACACTTAAATCACTTAGCTGCGCTTTCAAGAACATGATGTTTGTTATACCCGTATCTCTGTAATGTGACGTCATTAATCGGTCTCCCAAACACAAGGACGGGAAAGCCGGAAGAAACACCAACAAACGTAAGCAGAGGTCAACGGTGCACATCCACTTGGGACATTGGTGTAACATTAGATTAGTTTTCCCGAATTTTCAGACTAAAAAACAAAACAAAACAAAACAAAAAACAAACAAATAAAAACACAAAACAAATGGTTGTACTGCATTATGTATCATAAAAAGGTATATTGATATCGAAATTTACTTTTACGTTCCCAGTTGCTAGTTATAGGCCTATGTATTAAAAGATAATGTTCCCTTTTTCACAAATGGTCACACAGTTGAGGCTAAACTACAGAATATACCCAACAGCCCACCTTAGAGTTATAAGGAAGTTATGATGTTTTGTTAAGTATGAAAAACTATGGAACTTACAAAATCATTACACTAATTGCCAATTTGGTTATTAGTTTGTGACGACATTGCCTCACTATCTATCAGGTGCTTTATATATATATATATATATATATATATATATATATATATATATATATATCTTATACCACTAATTTCCCTTCTTATCCCCCAAAACTTGATATTCCCATGCCTTAGCCCAGGTTATATGATTTGTATCATATTGCGTGCATGACATTTCACAAAATCTTTTATGAACTTACAAGAATTTCTGCAAATTTCTGAATGTCGTATTCATAATTATTGATTTTTATATAAGCAGTTTATCAAAATACACATTTTTCACGATTTCACTGAAAAAACCCTCTATATTTGTACATCCACATAGAAACATATTTAAACTATGAATATAGCTTGGATGCTGGTGTAAGGAAATAAGATTTTTAGGGGGAAAATTGGAAATTCATATAATCAATATAAAGAAAACAATTAGTGGATAGTGAGGCAATGACGTCAAAGAGTCAAAGACTCATGAGTAAGTTGTCAATTTGTCTTGTAATAGTTTTTCATGTCATTGAAAATTCACAACTTTCTTATTAGTAATCCGATTTTGCTCAAACTTTTTTGATTGATTTGTCTGATTTGTCTGCTTCTAATGAAAGTAACTTATTTTTTGGAGTAGACTTGCCCTTTAAATTATTCTCTTTATTATTCCTTTTTATACTATTTCTCCATCTTCCATAATTCTTCCACTGCCTTGGGGCGCATATCCCTTGCCCATTGTAGCTACCCCTCTGCATAAACTGGGATAGAAGTATTCTTGTCTATTATGTGCTACATATAGCCTATAGTAATAGTGGAATGGGGGTTTAAATAATTAGGGTTCGATATATTTCATGGGAGTGGTATCATATGTATGAACAATTTCGCAAACGCCCAACAGCTGTCAATACAGCAATTGGTCATGTGCTGTAAAAGGTTCAACTTTTCATATCCCCAATATCTGATGTAAAGCAAAAACTATGTCATTCAAATCAACTCAACATATTTGTTTAGTGAATAAGCATGCAACCTTCAACTGCCACGTTATTTTTAGTCACGGTTATAATTTCTGACTAAAACGCCAGACACGTGCACATAATCTCGCAGTCCACGAGACATCTACGTAGCGAGATTTCTAAACTCTTTGTTCTGCTACTTTTTTTGTGCGAGGGTTTTTGTAGGGTGGCTGTGCTCCATCAGTCCGAGGAGTGTAAGCCGCTCTCACCGTGTTGGATCTCTAATTTCTCCTCTACCTCAGTTGAAAAGAAGTGAACATTGATACTGAGTTAAAATTTTACTATATTTTTCAAGGATTGGTGCAATTTTAAGGCATGTGTATACGTCGTTGCTAAGAAATATCGGATTTAAAGTCCGGGTATCTACGTTGACTCCTCTCTGCTCGCGAGCTTGCCGTCGCTCCGGCTAGTCAAGGCGTCTCCACGCCCGGGTTTCTCGCTGCTCGTCTCCCTCCGATGTGATATGGCTGTTTGCGGATCTAGGATTTCTCACTCTCAGATGGCTTTCGCTAACGGGTCCTCCAGCGCCCACGACCGTGCAATCCTGAGTGCAACTCAGACCTACTATCAGCCTTCTCCTGCCGCTTCGTCTGTGCCTAGAAGAGAATTTGAGCCCGATCGTCCAATCGGTTATGGGGCGTTTGGTGTTGTCTGGTAAGTCGACCCCTTTGTTTGAGCACTAGCAGGGCGACTCCATTTGGTTTAGTGCATGGCAATCGGCCGTATCTGGCCGACGCCGATGGGAGGGGGATGCCTAGGAATACGCGATTTTAACTCATTGTCCGCTGTTTTGTTCTTTATATTTGGAATTTTATTGAACAATGTAATATTCAGAGTTTTTGTAGGGAATTCAAATGAGACCTTTTCTTTATTGCCATTCTGAAATGATTATTTTGCACTCAAAGGATTGTCATATTTTAATCTCGTTTGCTCACAATCAATGCACAAAAACTGTATCATCTCGATATAGACTAGTTGTTGAACCCGTAGCATTCCCAGCTGGTCCACCCGGCGTGCGTTGGCCTTTACTCGACCCAAGGACCGAGCCAATGGCTAGTGTGTGTAGTGTGGGGGTTTAAATGCCTGAGTGAACGTGTGCTCTTTGTCTCTCTCTCTTCCTCCACCATCCCAGCTCTTCCGTGTTATTAGAAGAGCACAGAATCTGGCTAAAGCGAAAGAGGAAGGGAGGTCATAGGATTCAAACCTTTTGTTCTGACCTGAACCAAAAATCTTGAGTCTATTCTTTGTAGGTTATATGTTAACTCTTTGTTCTTTGCACCTGTAGTAGAGTGCTGGTATTAAACAAAACATGTTTGTAAGACAACGTGAGGAGAACTTGTGAAAAGATTTGTGGGAGCACCAGCAGCTGTTCCATACTAGTTGTGTGTCTTCTTGACGACTTTGAACCTGGACTGGTATTGAAATGAATGGAAACAAAGTACTCATGAGAAGAAAGTGATCACCCGGTTAAATTCAGGTCACCTCACAAACAGTTTTGGTAAAAACCAATGAAATGAATGAAATCACAGTAAAAAAAAAAAATCCCAATCATTTAAACAGTAAATGAACAAATATTTTGGCAATTAAATTTATGGTCAGTTACTCTTGGGAATCTCTAAGTTGATTTTGAAAAATCACACTCAACAAAATACATGCACATTCAAATAATACAAAATTATTCTTAATATTTTAGATTAAGAATAGACTATGTGATGGTGGAGGCATGGATAATGGATAAAATAGCATTTGCCAAGTATTATGTGTACAGAGATTTTGTTTTGAGATTCCATGGAAAATTATAACACTGTCAATTAAGATAATATTTGGGATTTGTTTTCATAAAGGGCCTTCCTTCCATTTTTTCAGCGTAGAATATTTGGGTTTGTTTACAATTGTAATTTATATTTTAAATAGTGTGAGTGTCCTTCAAATTATGCACCATTGGCCATCATGGCAATCTGTCAATCTTGTGAAAAGAGAGAGAGCTCGAGTGAGAGAGAGAGAGAGAGAGAGAGGGGTACTTGAATCACAATCTACATATAAACAAATTTATCATTTTGATTTGGTTTTTTAAAATATATTTAGCTCCAACTTGTCAATAAACAATTGTTAGGTAATGCTGGCAACTTTTTAGTTAATTTTTTAAACCTTATTATTGTTACATTACGTTCAAAAGTATCTTACATTCCATGATAAGTATACGAGACTTTGTGTACATTCACAATGATTCACTGCATATTAAAGCAGCAGAGCCAAAGCTGAATGTAGTACACCCCCATACATCTGTAGAAATATCTTCTAAAATCAATATTTCCAGGTACATACATTGGCACGGGACTCATGTACAATGTACATGTATGTACTGAAAGAGACAGACAGAGAGAAAGAGATAGAGATGGTAATTAAAGACCACTGCTTCTTTGTCCCCCACCTCTGACCATGCTCTGACCAGTAGGTCCAAGCTCTGTCTGACCACCAACCCACCCATAGATGTCTAAATAACAACATGGCTATCCCTTTGTGTGTCCTATCTTACCTCAGATCAATAGATAGACCTGTCTTTTGTTCCTCTTCTAGTTCCCTACCCCCCCCCCCCCCCCACTCCTCACCACCACCACCACCTCTTGCTCGCTAACTGAACCCAGGGCTATATGTGCTCCTTCTTCATTGTTTGTTCCCCAAACCATAATGTTCACAAAGAAAGATAAGATCCTAAAGTTGCTCTTAAAAAGTGGAGTTGTGGTTTGTACCAGTTTAACAATGCAGGTATACTTACGACTTAGGGCGCGTTCATGCTTGATTTTGACGGCCAGAATCAGGCATCTGTTACGCGTTTAGTTTAAAACACGGTTGCGTCTTAGCTCACTTTTGTAGAATCACCGAAAAACGGCGATCACGATCGCCGATCGTAAACTCACAAAAAGATGCGTTTACAATTTGTAAACGCGTTTAAATGGGGTCAACGCACTGACCTCTAGTGGGTCTACGTAGCATGCACAGTGAAGGTTTGCGAATCCAGCTGGAAGACCAATTAAGGCCACACACTGAGAATTGCCTGGGGGAGCCAGAGAAGTAAGCATGAACACTACATCGTGGAACTGCGATCACGATGAGCGTTTACGATGAGCGTTTCAGATCGCTCATTCTGCCTTCAAAATTTAAGCATGAACGCAGCCTTAGGCTTACAGGGACAATGTTGTATTCTCTGATGGATATTGCTTGTATTGCAAATTGATTTCCTGCAATACATTTATCCTTGCCCAGCACTACTGGCTGTTTACCCACGTGGTCCTTTGCTTCATTAATCATAGATGTGCCAGTAAATCCATGCATTAATGCAGACAAAAATGACATAAGCTAACATGTAAATGTAGTAGAACAGTACTTTTGGAAACAGATTAAAAATATAAGTGGTTTTGCTTTTAGATATATTTTGGAAGATGCCATGTTAGATTTGCACAGGATTGACAGGACTTTAAAAGATAGCTATATTCTTCATCCTTTTTTTGTACACAGGTCCTAATGTTATTTGAAGTTAATAATGTACATTCATGTTGCTCATGTGCTGCATTAGCATTGGGTATGCATACTTTCTTATATTTTAGACATAGCTGAGGAGGAAAACATGTACCGGTACATGTCAATAATTTCTATTTGACCAATTGCAGTGATACATTGTACATTTAATAAGAATGGAATTTATAGCACTTTTCTTGTACTATATGTAGCTTACCTTAGAGAAATTACTGTGCTGTATGACATGAAACATTGTGTACATGTACATGTACATGTATGTACATTGTAAACAGTATCAAACTTCAAAGCATTGAAAGGATGTACTGGTATGCATGTGTCTGATCTGTTCACTTTTATGTAATACCAGTTTACTAATAATACCAGCGTTTTTTGCTCCACTCTCTCTCCAATACACACAAACACACACACACACTAAAAACACCACTTTTGAAGTCAACCAGTATCATACAGTAGGCAGGTCATCATTAGCTGGCCCAGAAAAAATATCCACTCAGAACTACTCAATACTATCCAATCACAGCTTCCATTCGTACCACCCATTGCTTAGTCAACTATGACCTGGTCACATTTCTTTGTTTGGACTTTACCTCAGCACCCAACGAGGTGTCAAAAGCATTTTTGTTGTTTGTGGTCGAAATTTGGTCCTTGCCTGGCTTCTCTACCCTGTATGTAATTGAATTTAAAATGAAGGGAATTTCAATTTTTCCATCCTTCAGAGCTCAGACCAAGGTGTTTTGTATTTGCGGCTATTTTTCTGAGAAGTGCTAATTTGAGATTGTATGAATAGTTGACAAGTCTTATGCCCGTCCGCTTCCTCGTCCGACCCCAGAAATACATAAAAGCACTTCAGTTTCATTTTTTTGTGACCTGGAGTATGGAAGTTATTGAAAAGGGAAAATACAAACATTTCCAACTTTTCACTTTCTGTTGTGACCCCCATTAGCTTTCCAGTAGTTTCCACTTGAGTTTCAAATCAATATGCATTTGCCCTTGGAAGTATAGTATCAAACTATAAAAGGACTTCTTATATCAATGCATTGATTCTTGTCTATTAAATGATTTTAAATTCCTGAAGTTTTGTGAAATTAGTCGCAATTTGATATTCTCTTGCTGTGCAGCTATTACTCATGTTTGAAGTGCTTATCACTTTTTATCAGTCTCAAAACCATATAATTGATATCATACAAATACTGTACTTGCTGTCTATCTTATATTGTAATTGTATAATTAATATGATTGCCATTGCATAGTCACATGTAGAGCACATTGGGATCCTTTAGGGGCTAGATGAATCAAGAAAGAGGGAGCTGTGGACAGTTGGTTGGAACTGTTTTTGAAGCTCTGGAATGATTCAGGACCTATCTTTATCCCGATTGACTCACCCACTCAGTGATCCTTCAGCCAAGTATTGTATGCTAAAATGTGTCACTTGGCAGACTTGAATTATGTCATCAAATGATTGCTGACAACAACAAAAATACCCTTAAAGTCATAATCCAGACATCATTTACAATGGCCTACTTCGCCAATTTCCTAACTTACTACAGTGTATATTTTGCTCAGAGTATGGAATTAAATGTGTAGGATCTTCACTATGGCATTGTTAGTTAATATTGAAGTAAATGCAGTCTCCCCCTCCCCCATGTTCATTTAGCAACGCATGTCTATTGTCCTACAAGTTTTACACAAACCATTGGTACATTTAGGGCTCATTCATTATGTGTGGGCCTATATGTTAATTTATATACATGTTGGCCCGATGCTGTGTAACTTTGGAATGATCTGGATGCGTAAACGGATTGAAACCAGTTGGAGCTGACTACAGTGATTCAATTAATCACACAATACAGTCACTGTAGCATCCAGTAGCTGTAACTCATCCCTGTATTAGCTTCGGATGGACACAGTATACTCCGGTACAGTCACAAATGACCCATCCAGGTGCCTTGCATGCGCAGTTGCCCACTAATGCCCAGTTCAGACTGAAGGAAATTGATATGAAACTCGTGGTAAGAAATCATCGTTTAGGGAAAGGGGCATACACATTACACACCAGATAAAATATATATTAAAAGGAACATTGTATAAAGAAACTAGATTTGAAGAGGTCAGTTGAT